ATGAAGACATCAGCCCTTGTTTTTCTCTGTGCATTTTCTCTGTCTCTGGCTTATTTCGACGACTACATCGAAGGTACTGATTTTTCAGTGTCGTTTTCTGAAGCTTTCTCAGTTATCGGCGGGTTCATTCGTTCATAAATTAGATACGCACAGACTAGTTTTCTACGTTTCTTTCAATTTTTCCGTCTTTTAACGTACATCAGATATATCTTTTGTACAAAATACATTTTCTAGCAGAAAAAGTTATTTTAGAGCCGTAACTATATATTACAAAGGTATACTCGTCATGGACACTTCAGTATTGCAAGTCAGGAATATATCATTTCACTTGTTGTTTAGGACCTAAAGAAACTCAGTTCACTTCAGTTCTACAAGCGTGTATGAACTTTGTCACTGATATTGAAGCTGAAAGGAGATTATATGTGATGCGTTCAGAAAACTGACTTTTTTTGCGTTATGGAGGGCAGTAAAGTTCGAGCGTCAAATTAACCGGGCAGCGCGAGGCAGGGCCAGTCGCCTAAAAAAGCCACAGGTCAAAACTCTCAAAAAATTATTAGAAAAGAAGGCGAAAGGTCACTTATTACGCCCAATTTGATAAAGACTTTTTTTGCAAAATTCGCCATTAGCGGTGTGATTATATGGACGATTCCGGCCGGTAAATGTGTTAGAACCAAAGAGTATATTAACGCCGCGCTTCGACATTGGCATTGAGAATAATTTGCATACATTTCCATATCTTATGGTAGTTTCTAGATCAGCTTTACATCGCTACAAAAACTTCTTCGTCTCAATAATAAGTCGTGATGTTTTGCGGGGCAATGAATAAGCCTTGTTGTGGGAAAAGCTGGAAGACATTCGCTGAACGAAGTTGCAGCGAAAATCGGCATGCTATCATGTCGAGCTACAGTGCGAATTCAAACATGCTTTTGCTCCGAATTTGTGGGCGTTTCGGTTAATGCACTGAGTATCTCACTCAAGGTCTCACTTAGTTATCTTAATTAGGGCCAAACTAGTCAATACCTCAGAGTGAGCTGCCGAATAGTTCTTTGGTAACTCGTGGGGGTGTACGTCTGGAGTTAGGTCGACCTCGCCGACGTTCTCCTCACCTCGTCCTCGCTTGTAGAGTTTAGTCGAGGCCAAGTTGGCCACAGATTTGTATACGTAATAGCACGATTTGTAGTGATATTAGGCATAAATACCCCGAGTCTGCCGAGTGATATTTCGAAATTGTTATACGTAAAATTTGAGACAATTTTGAAATATCACGAGTACTAGTGGTATTTATGCCAACTATGATGTACGAATTATGCTATTATTTGTTTGTACTACTACCCGCAAAAGGTTTGTAATTTCAACATGTAGGTATTTCAAATTAAGCTGAAATACCACTGCTCTAAGCCAATCCAATTGCAGAAATTTCTTATGTAGTAGTATAAAGTGATCAAATTATATTGTAGTCACAAAAATTTTTTGAGACAATAACAATACAGCATTTTTCCGTTAATTTCAGACCCTTGGGAGAATGAGGACGAAGCGGTTAATCCGGAGTCTATAAAGCTACAGGGTAAAGTTTACCAGTGCACAGAGGATATGGATTGTGACTGCCCCAAGCTCCTTTGTACTGGAGTAAAGAGCTGCACAATAGGAGGCCCGAAGCCAGCGAAATGCAAGCTCGCTAAAGAGTACAGTGAAATAAACCTGCAAGACGCAAAAAGGAAGTTCTGGGGAAAATACGGAGATTGCTATTGCCAATAAGGCAAATGAAGAACATTCCGCTTCTTAAATCTGATGGAAAAGTACAACGGAATAGGAACGAAATAAAAGAAAACACTGAAGAAAGTGTCGAATGAAACTTACTAATTCAAAACGGAGCAAAAAGCTGATAACTAAGAAAAAATGAATATAAAAGAAAATTGAAACTAAAAAACTAGAAAAACGAATAGAGAGAATAGCAGATTTGGTACGGCTCAGGGAAGCTGAGTTCCTACTAAAATGGGGACCTTAATTCTAACAACTGGAGGGGCAGAAAAATAGCCAAAGAAACCTAATGAAGACTTGGTTCCTTTTGTTTGAGTGAAAAAGAATCACATCTAATACTTACACGTCATCTTCCTTGCATCCATCTCCTCGCATAGCTGATCATATCTTCTGGCCTGTTTCACTCTATAGTTTGTTACAGATTCGTGCCCATCAGTCGCTATTTTCGTGTTTTTGGGGTACGAGAGGCCCCTATTTTGCCTTCGTCCCTTCCTATGAGTCCTTGTGCGTCTCAACTTAACCTTAATTTTCTCACACCCCCAAAACACTCAAATTGCGACTGGATACGAATATAAATTTGTTACGCATATTACCTTCATGCGAACGTGGCAAAGCAAACGCGCGGGGCTGAAGACGAAAACAGAAGGAGGGACTGCAATCTCTTTCCTAACCGACGCGGTTAATCCTCCTTCTCTTTCGTCTTCTCCCTCGCTTATTTGCAGCGCTCACTTGCACGTAAAATGCTCGCCAGCGCGACAATCCTGAGCGATTGCTAGCACTGTGATGTATCCAGGTTTTTCTTTTCATGATACGCCCTTGGGCTCCATTATGTATTGAGCTCTATGATAATTCAGTTGAACCCAGTCAATACGAGATCGAATTAACAACAAGAGGATGTGCCATGGTGTCCTTATCAGCGGTGTGGTAGTGTAGCGGTAAGGGAGAGAGATTAAGATACGAAAGGGCCGGGTGCGAGGTCCAGGTTCGACCCTGGGTTGTGATTTTCTTTCTTTTTCATAGGAAAACTTTCAATAACAGGTCAAAAATTTGCTAAATGTCTCAAAAATGACCGCGATCGTTTACGAGAGGGACAACTGCGTCGTCTTTTCTGATGGGTTTTCACTGGTAAGATAATCAGTCATAGACGATGTGTAGATAAACAGTTTCCTTAAAGCGGGGTTGACAAGTTAATTGGGAGTTTGTTACTTGGGACCCTTGAAAATGTCCGTTGTGCGTATTAACCGATGTCTAGTGTGCCACGCTTAGTGACCGGCAGATGAACCTTTCTGCAAGAGCAAGAGACCATGATATTATGAGACTAGGAACATATATTACTGTTGCCGTTGTTGAAGCAAGAGTTACAAAATTGAAAAATCTTACACCATTATAACGTTGAGCAACCTCGTCTTAGGTATCTTTGCTTTGTAAGGGAATCCGGTTTCCAAGTATATGAAAGTTTTTCTTATGGAATCCGGAATCCGAGACATTTTTGCTTGTAGAATCAGGAATCTTGCCCTTTGAAATCCGGAATCCAAGTTCCACTGACAAAGTCCGGAATCCAGTTTCCAGGAACCCGGAATCAATGGTGTTGAATGTAGAATCCAAGACTACCTTAGATTTCCTTACATGGGACGAGATAACAATATCTGTCTCAGGCCGTCTTCATGCAATCACAACCCCTGAGGTTGTCATTTGACGTTTAGAGGATAAATGAAAACGCTTATATGTACATTGTCTTTAATTCTCAGCCTCTGTCCCAGTGTTTCCTTGCTTGGCAACTTGATCGTAATGCTCCAATATAACTAAGTTAAGACCCGGGTGGTCACAAATAGGGTGAAAGTGGGGTCTGCACGGCCTCCAGCAAATCATCGTAACAAGGAGGAGGTTCGCCTTCTTTGAGTCTCACTCCAGCGTTGTACTGCATGTATTCAACATAATGCGGAGGGTATTCTGGTAACTTTTCAGCCTGAAATGGTGTGTCGTTTTGTGTCGTGCAGTTCATTTTCGTGGTGGTCGCTTTTATTGCAAAAAGGTTGCTGAGGACCACTGGTCTATGATAAGGACGTCTACGGTGATAGCGCGTGAAGTAAAAACACATTGAAGCTATACATAGAAGAACACAAGTTCCGAGGATTCCAGCGGCAATAAAGGTGTCAGCATCATCGTTATGATACGGAATACAGTGTTCTGAGCAAACTCTGTAACAGCAGCTTTCCCACAGTCTGCAGTCAGCGTCTTCTGAACAGGAATGTCCGACACAAACGTCACCAACTACGCAGAGGTGACTACAGCAACTCTCTTTTGCGCCGCAGTCGAACTGAGAAGAACAGTTGCGGCTGCTCGAGCTCGAGACAGACGACGTAGTAAAGGATTCGGAAGGAAAGTGCACAGAGAAAAACATCAATATGAAAAGGAAACCATTCAAAATAATAGCCGACGTAGCCATAAACACCCACACCTTACTCGACTGTGAATTGTTCTCAGTTTCACGTAGATGGGAAATATTCTCACTTTGTTCTTCAGACAAGCTACTTCGTGATCGTGACGAACAGATGATGTCTCAAATTGTGTATTAAATTACAAGCTTAAAACTATTTCCCATCGCGTGACTTGGAAATTCTAAGTCACGCAACTTGAAAAAAAATAAGGCCTGGGGCGAGATATCGCGTTACTCCAAAACTCCGATTAGCATTTTTTGTAATGCGACACTGTCAAAATGGCGGAAAAACACTGCGCCCGGAAAAACTGGCGATGCACTATAGAACGAGCAGAAAAGTTTATTTCCTCGCAATATTTTTCTGACATCAACTTGTACAGCAGGTATGTACTTGTCACGTCCACTGCCACTGCATCAAACATTGATTCAAATGCAGATTCATCTTTGTTACATGTATGCCACATCACCATTCGGTCAGTTGCTCCGAAAACGTCGATCATGAAAGTGCAAGAAATGTAAAATTATGTGGAAAGAGAGAGAGAGAGAGTCAAACAAGAAATCCCCTGTGTTTTCAGTCTTTTCCTAGTTAATGCTAAGACACCAGCAACTTTTGGCTGTTTATCGGAGAACAAAAGAATTTTACAGCTGATTTCAGTGCAGCGTTTTCAGACATAATTCGACCGAGAGGTTACAAAGCAGTAGAGAATTCTACTGGAATCAAAGCACACAATCTGAAATTTACTTTGATGATTATAGCTTGAATGTTTCTCTCGTAATTCAGAAAAAGAGGACCGTGATTCTCCTTTTCAGACAAAAATCGCAATGCATGTTATCGCGCGTGTGGACGGCTCTTTTCTTGACCTTTTTATTAGGCTTCTAACTTGATCTTTAAAGAAATATAGACCTTGTTTGGTACGGTTTTGGGGGCCATCTTGATATACGTAGACAAACTTAAATAAGGTATATCACTTTCTTTGTATATCAGAATCTAATTTGAATTTCCGTTATAAAGCAAAACGGCTGTTTTGGGTCTATTTGGATGAATTTTCAAACCAAAGCGTCATTTTGGGATTTTTTATTGGTAAAATTGAGGGCACTACATTCACCCTGAACACCTAGGACCACTTTTTTTGGATTTCTTGGCGATAGGCAAAGTCTGTAAAGAAATTACAGAAGTCCCACGAAAAAGATTACAGACAAATATATGGAAAATCTAAAGCAAGCCTCTGGAGAAATTTAAGCACAGGTAAGCCTCCAAAATTTTTTCAGACAATCCTTTGTGTTGCAGCTTTAGTTTACTGATATTTTTTCAGAACACCCGTCTTACAGAAATAAATTCGAAACTAGATTCTCATACAAACACTGTAATTTCTCACGGGTTTGCCTTCTCGTCAAGATGGCATCGAAAACCGTGACAAGGTCTATTATATTTTACCCTTTTTGAATGAAAACAAATGTTGTTTTCTATTAGTTAAGGTTTTCTTAACGTGAGCTCATTAGAGTCATAGGTTGAGGACCATACTCCACTTGCACATTTCCCATAATGCACCTTATATTACCCCCCCAAAAAAAAAAAAAAAAAAATTTGCATAACCTTTGTTTTTTATTTCTCTTGGGCATTACAACTGTCCCAGGAGAAATTGAAAACAATGCTTATTCAAAATTTTGGGGGGCAAATAAGGCACATTATGGGAGATGTACAAGTGGAGCATGATATTTTTCTGGGGTTGACAAATATTAAACTTTCTAGCAAATTCTTTCACAACAGCAGACTGATCAATTTATCTGTTGACTTTTTCTACAAAATGTCAAGTCTTCCTGTTATGTTTTAATTATGCAGATTCTAAGTAAGGATGAAAAGATACTAAATTCAGGAAATACAAATTTGCCTCCCTGTTAACTAAATTTACATCACTGCAGTTACATGTAGATTGTGTGCATTCACCAACACCAAAATACCGAAACCTTGTCAAACAGAAGAAGACTAAACGATAAAACATCGGACTATATTTTCTATTGCTTTCCATAGTATTGATAATATTTCGTCTACTGTGAAATTGGCTACAGAAATACATTGGCAATTGAACTCCAGGTTTATCTCTTTTTATCATTCTGTATCCTGTCACCACTTTCCATGCAATAAAGCTTTCCTCTTCAAGTGAAACACATTTGTCAGGATTCTAGCTTTGTTACACTTGTGTCTTTTGGTGATAAGCTTTCCTTGCCAGCCAGATGATATGTTTCTCTCACTGTTTCGGATCCCATGGCAGAATTCTCGCCTGCCTTTATTTTTGCAACCGTTTATGTACTGCGAAGCTGTACATCACATGATTGGTGTCAAATCATGACAGGTCAAATCATAACCGTTGAATCATGTCTGAAAATCCGGATCTATACATAACAATGAAATCAGCTGTAAGCAAGGCTACATTCACACAAAGCCATTGGAAGCCCCCTCCCCTACAAAAAAATTGGGGAGAGACGTATATGTGAATTGCAGTCATTAATAGTGTTCTGGTATACATTTGCATAAATTATATGAAATGCCAAACCATCCATCCAAAGTACTATGAATGATTATATGTTAGGACAATCAATAATAATATTATTAGACAAGTACAAGTACTAATTAAATAACATACTGGATGTTCTTGTTGTAGATTGTACCCTAAGAAGCTGTCAGTGAGTTCACTTACCCACTTCGCTGCTCCTGGTAGAGCCACGTACAATGAGGCTATCAGGGAAAAATTTGTGGAAACTCAAGTTGGATGCAATTTTGGTCCAACGTAAGATTGCACTTCTAATCATGAGACAGTATTCTAAAAAGCTAAATTTTAGTGAAGTCCTGAAGACATAATTTTTAGTTCACAAGCCATAATTAGTGCTCTGTCAAAGCACCTTGATGGGTACTCATTATATATCTATAGACATTTTCATCCTGTACTTAAGATTATGCATGCAAGTATACATTTGGGAAGTAGATATCTGATTTACCATGCATGTAATATTGCTGAAATCTTTATCAGGTGGTCCACACATTGGTTCAAAGTTATTATCCACATTCCAGAAGAATGGAAGGGAGAAGAAGTGCACTTTAGATGGAATTCTGCTTCAGAGGCCATGGTGATTATATATTATATACTTTTATTATAAATCAAAGTTTACAGATCTTTATATCCACAATGCAATATGTGATTGATTCTTACAACATTAAATCCTCACTGTTTTTGTACCCAGTTGAACTCTGATAGTACGCTATCAAACTCTGATAAGATAAAGAATTGCCTTTGAACCAGGGTAGGTGTAGCTCAGTGGGTAGAGAGCTTGACTGCAGAGCCAGTTGAGGTTGCGGGTCTCATTCCCAAAGCCAGACCAATACTCAGGGTCTTAACATAACTGAGAAAATGTAGTGTCCCAGAGGCAGTTAGTACTATTTTCGTGCAAAATTTTAATATGCATTGATTGACACTCAAATAAAGTGGCATTTTATTAATTTCTCAAGTTCGTTTACCGCACCAACATGTACCTTATATCGATGTACAATACCTTATGGGTTCATTTCCTCCAAAAAAAGGAAAAACACTGTTTTCTTTCCTTGATGGCTGCAGGGATTGCAGGCTAATGCATATTACTAAAAACTGAATCATTGGATAATGTAACTCTTTTTTTTTTTTTTTAATTTCTATTTTCAATTGCAAGGTACTTACTTACAATACTTGCAGGCAATGTATGATATTAAAACTAACAGAACTATTGGATAATGTTATTGACAATTCTAGAGCTCTGATTATACTTAGCCAATCAAAACTTGTATATGAGATATTTACACCATGCTCTCTTCAAAAAATAAATAAATAAATAAATAAAAAACAGCTACTTGAGTTAGAACTACAGTTAACTAAAATTTACCATACTTCCCCCCCTTTTTTCTGTTTTTGAAGTAATCCTTGATAGGATAATGTAATTCTAGAGCCTCATTTTATTCATGGTAAACCATTAATTATTCCAAATATGGTAACTGTAAACATCTGCAAAATTAAAAAATTAAAACGGTTGTTTTTGCAAATAAAGTCGGGAAGAATTCTCAATATTTTGTGGGCCTTTTTATTAAAATAATTATTCCACTCGCACTTGTTGGATATGAGATGATTATAGCCAACTCTGTGCTATGCGCCTCATTGGCTATCTACCATCTCATATCCAACGTGCACTTGTTGGATAATTGTTAAATAGTTCCAGAGAACTGTATTGAGCATTAAATTTTCCACAATGTTTCTCTCCATGATTGTTTACGCTGTAGGTCTGGCAGGATGGGAAACCAAGACAGGTATTAAGAACAATCTGAAAACATTTTTTCAGAAACCAATAAATAAAAACACTGTTAAGTAATACATAAAATTGAAGCCCCTGATATATACTCTGTAATCTTTAAATTGATGTTGCTGAGGAATATTTTAAATGAGCTGACAATACCTGAAGCCTTACTTTTCAGTAGCAAACTTCATTCACAGCTTGAATTCAGACTGTTCATTTTTACAGTAGTTGCTGTGGTAAAAATTTTCACCTTATTTTAATTTAAACTGTTTTTTTTTCTTAATTCACAGCTGTCACTAAAATTTTAGTTTGCTGGGTATGTGGGTTAGTTTAACAGGAAATTGAAATTGAAACTTGGTTCTAACTTTTCTCTTGTTTCCTGTGAAAGAAGCCAAATGTTGTGCTCACAGTAGCCAGGGAAATGTTTGGCCCCTGGGCGGCCCTTAGTGACAGCCCTATGATATTCATTTATTTTTTTTAAATTTTTATTGCATTGTTTTTCGTAGTAATATGTTCTGTCACTAGTTGTGCTCATATTGTGGGTAGCGCCTCCAAAAATGTTCTGCAGTTATGTAAACCATTTTTAGATTTGCATGCAGTTCACCCATCCTGACTGATGAACGGCTCCGGAGGGGGGAGGAGGGATCTCAATATTCGAAGTGTATGAAAGGGTAGGGTTATCTGTCATTTCGGTCAGTAAAAGGACCTACTTGGATAGGTGCATCTTTTGGCTTTGAAAAAGGCAAGAAAACTTTCCGGAGTTGTGATTTATTTTTATTTAAAAGACAGTGCATTTGCAGCAGTTAAAAGGGATTCAACGTTGTAAACGAGTATGTGGAAGAGGAACCATTTGTCAATAACAGGTATACAAAAGGGTACCTTTCTGTCAAAAATGGTATACCAGTGGTATAAAAGGGTAAGCCTCCCCGTAGAAAATTTTGTTGAGTACCCCCTCTCCCCAGAGAACAGCTACCACAATTAGATATTTGCAGGAGCAACAATCGTTAATAGTCTGTCCCATTTCAATTATTATTCAGAGGTAATATTTCCACTCATTTATTTATTTTCCTTTAGGGTTTGACTGGTGCTGATGGCCACCAACAAAGAACAGATTATGTACTCTCAGCTAATGCCACTCCTGGAAGGTACTGTACTAAAAAAAAAATACGGAGTCTAAGATGTCATGACGACTACGGCAACGAGAACGTCAAAAAAGCAATAGATTTTTAATAGCTTAACAACAACTTGCACCGCACGTTTTGTTACAAGAGAGTTCGCCTACGTATGACAAAGTGAGTAAACTGGGATGAATCAAAAATGATCGTGCTGACGTTTCAAAGAACGCAAAGTCTCTCTTCAGGTGAGGTTTTTGCCGGGTACCTGGTCACCTCGCCACAAAATTATCTCGCCATCGGCAAAATCGCCACCAAGAATAATGTATCTTTAATACTTTTCGAAAGTACAAGTCGATGATGACTTACAAACCCAGGGGGAGGGGGTTCTCCGGATTTCAAGTGACGGGGATGATCGAATGGGGGAAAAAGTCAAAACCCCAAAAAATCCCTGGGACTTCTAACAAACCCAAAATCTCCGGTAACAAAATTTAACCCCCGAGCCTTAAAAAAAGCCGCAAAACAAGTTTGGTTGTGTTTTGTTCGCAGAACTTCGCGGACCGCGGAGGCACTACTATGTGTCTTCAGATTGTTTTGAACACCCCCTAAAAATCCCTTCTTAACTCAACCCACCCAAAAAAATATTTGCTAAATTTTCCTACCCCAAAAAATCCTTCGATCATCCCCGTCACTTGAAATCCGGAGTACCTCCCCACCCGCCCCGCCCCTGGGGCTTACACACTGCATTGTTCCAATGTTAAGGTACACTTTGTATGTGGAAATGGCTGCCAATGGTATGTTTGGTGCAGGGAAGGACGGCCTGATAAATGCGCCGGACCCCTCGCGCAAGTACACTCTCTCTATGGCTGAGGTGGCTGTGTTTGACACCGCATATTATCAAGTGTTAATGGACCTTACTGTCATCATAGACCTGGCAAAGGTATGTGAGGAATCATCAAAGTAGCTGATAATTATCACTGCCTGAAATGCCGGCTTTACTGTCCCTTGATCAAGCCATACTCAGTCAGGATTTATTTGTGTATACTGGTCATTACCCAGTCCGTTCATATTGGCGTCAGTTAATAACATCTCGCTTCAAACATTTGGTACTTAATACACTCGTAATCAAGTTCTCGTCCGCTTGCTGAGTAAAACATTGCCCGCGATTTTGTACGCGCCATCGTGTTTTTAATTTCTTGGCCAATCCAAAATTTGCTATAGCAATGCCGTGTATTAAATATCTGAAGGGTTCTCTTCGCTGTAACTTTATTGATCGCAATGTTGCGAGAGAAAATGCACCTTGTACCGGCACCTATCTTAGTTACCAATTGTATAGCCCAGGGTTCCGTTTTCTCGCCCAACGCAAATGACAAATCAGTACATTAGCCTTCGTTTAGCCTCATCCCCTCATCCCTTAGAAGGAACACATCGTGACTGGAATCTTCCTTTACGTTATATAACTCTTAAGCCTAGTTTTCACTAGCCCATAAGCACAAGCGAAGGGCATACGCACGCGCAGAATGGCATATTTGACTCAATTCTCGATGCCAGCTCTCCTCAACCCGATGATAAACAAGATGGCGGACGAAGCGTCCGCCATATTGCTTTTAAAGTGTGCGCATGAGGTCTGGGTCAAAGTGACCTATGATTGGTCCACGGCCTTGTGCTTATGCTTGTGCTATGTCGACCCAGTTTTAACTAGTCAAAGCTACAACATTAGCATAACCACAAGCGCAAACTTGTCCGTTTTTCTTGTGCTTATGCTTGTCGACCCAGGGTGCGTTCGATTGGGAAATGTAGATTTAGATTTTGAAAATCCGGATTTCGAATTTGCAATCAAACGCGAAATCCGAAAACGGATTTCAACGCTGAGATATCTGTTTCGGATTTTCATTTTTACCGTTCGATTGGGAAATCCGAAAAAGGATTTGAAAAACTGTCCTAAGAACAAATCCGGATTTAGATTTTGAAAATCTAAATCGGATTTCCCAATCGAACGCACCCCCAGTTTTCACTTGCTTACACATGTGCTTGTCCTTATGCTTATGCTTACGCGCTAGTGAAAACCAGACTTTAGGGCTCTATACTAGCGTAACTTATTTAGAATTATCATTTTTGAACAGAATCTCTCACAAGAAAATCCCAGAGCATTTCAAGCTCTTTACACTGCAAATGACATTGTGAATGCATGTCAGGACCTGTCAGATAGAACGTCGTTGCAAAGGTGATGTTATGGAGTAGTTACTAAATTGATGATTGCGCGATACATCGAAAAAATTGCCCGTGCTTATCTGTTCTCCTTGCAGGGAGATTTTCGCATGTGTTTCCTTGTTCTCTTTCTCGAATTGTGTGCACACGGGATATCTTTAACTAAGTTATTGCGAAGATTTAACCGATAGATGTAAAATTGCATGGACTGTAGCGCTACTATTAATAGTACTGCTCATTTTTAAGTGCCCCTTCTTCGTAATAGGCTCATTTCTCCTTTAGTTATATGCTGATGCGTCAGAGGCATTTTCCTCTTCTGAGAGGTGGTGAATCCCTAACAAGTATGAAACGTGCGTTAGTAGCACAGGTTACTCTGAAAAGAATTTCTGAGCACTCTAAAAAGAAATCGTCCCTACGTTTGTCGCGTAGTCTTGTTAAGATCTCATAAAATAGTGTGTTTGTTTGAGCGTCTTCTGAGTTATCTTAATCTAGAATACGGACTCTTTTTACAAAGGCATCTTTTTTTTTTGTCCGGTTCCAGGGCGCACGAAATAGCCGACAGATTCTTTAAACAAGCAAACGGAGATTCTCAACACCAGGTCCACGCTGTTGGAAATTGTCACATCGATTGTGGTATGGTTATTTTAAACGAACAACAATATCAAATTCTGTTCTATGCACATCTATTTATCCATCCATCCCTCTGTTCGTCCCCTTGTCCGCCGACCTGTCCGTCCGTCTGTCAGCCCGTCTGTCTGTCCGTCCGTCCGCCTGTCTGACTATATGTCCATCTGTCCGCCTATTCGTCCGTTTGTCTTTCTGTCTGCCTTTCCTTCCCCCTGTCCGTCTGTCCATGCGCAGTTTCTTCCATCTGTCCTTCTCCCTAGCCTTAAGTCCTTGCATTCCTCCGTCCACCTGTCCCTCCATCTTTACACCATCCTACTGTCCGCCTGTCCATCCATTTGTCCCTTCGTCCGTCCGTCCCTCCATCCGTTCATCTGTTTGTTTGTCTGTCCATCTGCCCATCCCTCCGTTGCCCTGTTTGTCCACCCGTCTGTCCGTGTGCCTTTCCGTACGTCCATCTGCCCGCCTTTTCGTGCGTCCGTTCCGTCCATTCATTCCTCCATCTGTTTGTTTGTCCGTCCGTCCCTCTGCCCTTCCGTCCACTCGTCGATTCGCCTTTTTGTCCCTTCGTTTGTCCGTCATCCCTTCATTCCGTTCATCTATTCGTCCGTCCATCCACCCGTCCGTCCATCTGTTCGTTTCTCGATTTATCTGTCTATCTGTCTCCCTATCTATTGATCAATTAACGTACTTAGTTTTTTTTAGTTACGTATTCTTACTATTTTTAAAGCCTGGCTGTGGCCTATTGCCGAGACCATCAGAAAGTGTGGTCGCAGTTTTGCAACAGCTGTGAGGTTGATGGAGAAATACCCTGACTTCAAATTCGTGTGCTCACAGGTTTGTTCATTCTCTGTTGTCTCGGTTTAAGGTTGGTATCAGTCTTTCTACCACAGCCGAAGAACATGCTAGTGAATATATGATTCTGCCCACGTAACCCAGAATTCGAAAACCTACAATATGACCTACAGCAAAAAGAATGAGAGACCGAGAAAGAGATTTGGGGACAGCCCAGTCCAAAGTAAAATCTTGTTATTTAAAAAACTTTAACTTCTTTACAAGCCTCTGTTAAAATAATGTAGTGGGATACAATTTTGACTGCTGAGCTGCGAAGAGAAGCAGAATGGTGGATTCTGGAATTTGGAACTTACAGGGTAAAACTGTTGAAATTGAACACTGTTTAAAGAAAGCTAATAACATACTTATGATTAACGCACTTAATGAATGTACGTGTGTTAACTTTCGCTTTTGAATAATCACGTTTGCCTTATCAACCAGGCTCAACAACTTGAGTGGGTCAAGCTTCACTATCCAAGTCTCTTCGACGAAATAAAAGCGTTTGCTGCTAAAGGACAATTCATACCTGTTGGAGGAACTTGGGTAGAAATGGTAAGGATATAAGCGTCTTCAAAGATAATGACATACATTGGTGTATATCTACTGTGCTAAATTCCCACCTACCCGAAAAAAGAGTAAAACGCAGACGCACTATAAACTTTGTGACAGGCTCGCTTGTGAATAGTTCCATGATTAGGGCTTGAGCCGTTTCTTGCAATATGTATATCCTTGCGCCTTTCACGAAGGTTAACCCATCGATTTAGATCACACATTCTTGAATGTTTGAAAACATGGTGAAATGTGTCTATTTTCGTCATTCTTGATTTTCGAGTTCGTGATTTGTTTTATTTTTTATTATTTTGAAGGATGGCAATATACCAAGTGGCGAGTCATTCATTCGCCAGTTTTTAGTTGGACAAAAGTTTTTTCAGCAAGAATTTGGGCAAGTTTGCCAAGAGGTAAATTGATTGACAACAGCGCTCGTAGAGACCTTCAATAAATGTATTTTTTAAAGTGTAAGACGTACTCGTATTTCTTATTTTCTTATTGCCTTCAGTTCTGGCTACCCGACACGTTTGGTTACTCGGCCCAGCTCCCTCAAATCATTCGCGGAGTAGGAATGAAGTACTTTTTGACGATGAAGCTAAGCTGGAGTCTCTTTAACAAATTCCCCGTAAGTTGCCTTTTTGCTTCGTTTTAACGTTCTGTCAGACAGACAAAAGGCGTCAGCATGGCCACCGAGGTGGGTGTGGCCTAGAAAGTGGCATGGCCAATAATATGCGCGTGTTGTAGTTGTAGGCCGGAAAGTTGGCCTAATTAGATGCTGGATTCGCCAAGGAGGTAACGTTGGCATGACATGGTGACATGCCCAGAAGAGGTGACATGGCAAGGGTGCCGCTTGCATGGCCTCTTCATTTGAATCAGTTGAATACTCGCAGCCCGCAGTCCAAAAGTTCGGAGTTATAGAGATGTTTGGCCATATTTTTGCCTCTCACCGATTCCCTCCTGGAATCTAAAAATAATTACTTTCAGGTTTGGTGCCCCAATTCGCACCGTTGCAAAAATAATTGTACATGGATGTAGCCCAGGGAATAGAGTCGTTGTCTAACTTTTTGTTTTTCTGTTGTAGTATCACACCTTTTTCTGGGAAGGAATCGATGGGTCAAGGTATGTCGTTCTTTTCGCTCTCCCGAAGTTGCCTGTATCCCTCACTTTTGTGGCTAACTGCGCTACATTTTTTTCAGATGTTTGGCTCATTTTCCTCCTGCCGACACGTACGAGTCTCGTGGTGATGCTGCTGATGTAAGCTGTGTACTGTCCACTTTCCATTTTTTAAATTCTGTTTTGCTACGTCACAATCACGTGTCTTTGACGTGACTGTGGCGTGACCTCTGCTTGGTCTGACTCTAGAGATCGAGATTATCTGTGCTATTGAAAACTGTTCTCCCTCCTCCACCCCCGGTCTCCCGTTTTGTTGCAAGAGATATCTCCAGCATTCAATAAATCCCCCTTTTTAACTGCTTTGTGTCTTAAAGAGATGAAAAGTTGTGTCTTCTGTGTGTTGCCAGGTTATAAAGACAGTAAGACAGCTGAAGGACAAAGGACAAGTTCATGCCAGCATGTTGCTGTACGGCCACGGAGATGGCGGGGGCGGTCCTTCGTAAGTGCTCAGTGCGCATGCGTCATTTAAGCGTTTTGCTAACAGACCCCATCAATCTTAATTGTTCCGGTGTATAGGATGGATGTCGCTTGTACCCTCGATGTGAGGTACAAATAGCTTTGATGTTTGCAACTAAAAGAACTGTACTGATTACCTTTTTTTTGCTTTATTATAGAGAGGATATGCTTGAAATGTTGAAGCGAATGGAGGACGTAGATGGTTGTCCTAGGTAAATAAAAAATAAACAAACAAACAACAAACAAACCAAAGACAAACGACAACAACAACAACTCCTGTATTAGAAGTAATCCCTGTCTGGGAATTATTTTAGTTTGGCGTTGACAATTTCTGAATTTTCGCAGGGTTAAACTTTCAGATCCTCATGAATTTTTCAACTCCCTTGAGTCACGTGATGCCAGTAAGCTATGCACATGGGTTGGCGAGCTATATCTAGAGCTTCACCAAGGAACATACACCACACAGGCGCAGGTAAGGTGTTTTATATTATTATTCCAAATCTGTGTTATTAACGTATAAAAGGACGATAATTTAAAATAGCTATATTTTATCAAAAGACCTAATTCATCGGACGTTATAATAATGATATTGATGATAAAGGTGATAATGATGAAGCTGATGTTGATAATGACGGCGGCGATGCTGATGATGATGATAGATGATGATGATAATATGGTGGTGGTGGTGGTGGTTATATTTTTAGGGATGATGATGATGATGATGATGATGATGATGATGATGATAGTTGATGAGTGATGGAGGTTATGATGGTAATGATGATGATGATGATGATAATGATGGTGGTGGTGGTGGTGGTTATATTTTTAGGGATGATGATGATGATGATGATGATGATGATGATGATGATGATGATGATGATAATGATGATGGTGGTGATATATTTTAGGATGGTGATGATGATGATGATAGTGATGATGATGATGATGGAGTTATGATGATGATGATGATGATGATGACAACTGATGATAATGATGACGATGTTGGTGATGATGATGATGATGATGATGATAACATGATGATGATGGTGATGGAGGTCATGATAACAACGACGACGGCAGACCGTTAATCGCACGCATATCTTAAAGCTGAATTGTTATTTTCCTTAAATTTTTATAGATAAAACAAGGAAACCGCCAAAGTGAATTCCTTCTTCACGACGCGGAACTGATCTCGAGTTTAGGCTATGTTTTGGGAGACAAACGTCAAGGTTAGTTAAGCTGCTAGAATTTCTTTATCTTTTCTTTCTTTCTTTTGTAAACTGTAGCTCATGTAGTTTTAATGTATAGAGTGTTTTCACATGACGTCACGGCGGCCATATTGGTGTCCCAAAACAATGAACCGGCGGCCATGTTGGTGTCCCAAACCAGTCCTTTTGAACTGCTTAGTAGTTCTCGTGATTTGCGTAGATGCTGGCCACGTGACTAAACAGCGAAAATACGACCCCGTTTTTCTTACAATAGTGCATTTGTTATGGAATTTTAGAAGACTATCCCTCTGAGGAATTTCTTAGGATCTGGAAACTCATGCTGTTAAATCAGTTTCACGACATTTTACCTGGAAGCTGCATCAAACAGGTTAATATTGTTTCTCTTCACAGTGGCTATTTTTCTTATTTAACTGTACGCATTTCCTGTTGTTTGACCCATGGTGACCCAGTTAAGTAGCTGGTTGTAGCTTACAGGGTGTGCTCACAGCAGCTTGGATTATGCCCTTACATATATTTCTGTATCTCTCTCTCTTTTCCTCGACCTGATCGCATGTTTTGCTCATGTATGCTCTGCAGGCCTTACCTTTAATATCCACCAGATAAAGGAATTGTAAAGCACATTCTTAGCAATGCAAACAATTATTATGATACCTATTTTGAAGTGATATTCTCGTGGTCTGTTATAACCTCTGTTGTATTAGCCTGTTCCAGGCTCCGAGATAGTCAAGTCCGTGAAATTGAGAAAGCGCGCTTATATTTTCTCGTGCCTTACACTTACGCGTCATCCCTACTAACTGAGATCCTGGAACAGGCTAGTGTTGTACACAAAATATATCTTTAATACGTCTGCGACGGTACAGGCTGTGCATACTAGCGATAAATGAAAACGTTAAAGGAAATCTTTAGTATAAATTGTTTAAAGATGTCATACTTTGATAATCTGCCAAAAGCACAGACACTTACCGTATAGATAAAGAGATGACCACACCCATATGATCATAATAAAGTTCTTAGCCTGCGTGGCAGGCGTTTAAAAGGGAAGGAGAAGGGCAATCCGGGCGCTTGAGAAGCGCGAAAGGCGCGCAAGGGGAAGGAAAAAAGAACCTTCCCTCCTCCCTCATCCGTCGCGCGCGGTCTCGCGCCTAAATTCCTTTCCCCTTAACTTTCAAACGCCTGTCACACAGGTTCTAAAGTTCTGTGATCGAAATATCTAACGTAAAAGAACCATAGAACTCGTGACATTTAAATTGCTCATTTTATAGGCTGTTGATGATGCTCTTCACAGCTATAAAGGTAATAATGCAGCTAAACCAGAAGAGAAGTGTAGTCAGTGTAGCGTACTGTACATAGCGTACGAGCAAGCTAAGCCCCAATATCCACATACAAATTCTCCAAACTGGTCTCTGCGATTTTGTTAAAGAATTATTTCATTTTCTCTTAGGTGTTTAATTTTTCATTTAAATCGAATGATGATGTTGGTCAAACTTAAAGGGTTAAGAACGATATTTCGTCGAAGAGCCTTCAATGATGTGATGTATTTTTACTAGCCGGGGGTGGGGGAGGATACAACGTCAACTTTTTCCCTCCGATTAGCCCATGTTTTTCCACGCAGTGCCCCAACGTTTACCCCTTTCTCAACGGTGGTTTGTTTGTTTTCAAGAATTAAGCGGCCATGGGACGTAAAACTATATCAAATTCTTATAACCTCATCTCACTGTTACTACAGCTATAGTGTTATTGAGGGCGTGAAAAATGCTTTTTCTTTGATATTAGGATGGTTCTGCAGTATGAAGACATTTTTTATTCCGTTGCGAGTGACAGACTATTCCTGAAGTCTAGTCTTACTGGTTTCTCCTTGCTTTCCTTCTGAACATTGTTTCCACCAATGGACTTTCCTCTGAAAAGATATGTCTAGTTTTGGGCTTCAACTTAATTAAATCAAGAATATTTTAATTTTGCCACCCACAGACATTCTGGAAAGCACCCGACGAATACTAGAATCCAGCTGCTCCAAGGTTGTTTCCCAGGTAGGGAAAGTAAAAGGTAGACCCAAAGAAGATTTTTTTATTATTTCAATTATTTGCTGAGGATATAGATTTTTAACTGAATTTACGGTACAAAAACCACACTATATCAACGATAACAGTTCTTTTTAATGTCAGCTCCATTCTGGTGGAAACGATCAAGTGACTAAGCCCGTCCTTGTAAACACACTCAGTTGGGGGCGAAGTGAAATTGTTACTATTCCCGGTGAACTATGGGAGCACTTAACTGAAGAAGAAAAATTTTCAATTAGAAAGCAAACTGGAGAGGATGGAAAAATACTCGGTAAGATAACAGTAAATGTGAGAAAAAAAATACTTGGTAAGATTATAGTAAAAGTGAGATCTTTGAGCGAAGAACCTAGCACTGTTTTAAAGCCTATTTGTCTGCCGAATAGACCCCGAACAATAATTTGCATGACTCTCTTCCATTTGTAAGGGTTATCGACCATTATTTACGTTCCTTGTTTCATGTAACTGCTAACAAATTGCCTTCCTTTTCAGCACTAGTGTCTGTACCAAGCTTGAGTATAAGTCCTCTAATTGATGTACAAAGTGAATTTCACCCTGTCTCTTTATCTTTTGATCAGGTGAGCAAGCTGCAAACTTTCATTTGTAGCGTTAACACTTTATGTCTGAATGTTGCCCGGATTGCTCCTGTAAAAAAGGTCCTCTTTTGAGGAGGTTAGACTGTAATTAACGCGGCCATCGGTAATTTACTCGTGAAAGCCCTTTGAAGTAAAGTAATCTCAACCTGGCGTGTTCGACGAAAATACTATACAAGGACAGCGCAGGAATCAATAATTTTTCTCGCGATTTTTTTGACTGATCATTTTTTTATCTTGATCTTTAGCCTTAAAAACGGTTTCGCTTTAGCTTTAATTTGTGTTTTTTAGCTGCAGGACTCCGTTGTCATGGAGAATGCCTTGGTCCGAGTTGAATTGGTCAGAGGTGGCCTGGTAAGAAGTCTCATTCACAAAGCCAGTGGCAGGTACCTCAGTCATCTACAGTACTACCCTTTATTTAGGGTTAAATACCTCCAGAGATCAGGGGTGGCGCAGTGCTGACAGCACACGCCCTCTGCTAATGTGGCCCGTGTTCACATAACCGCGTCGACGCCATATGTGGGTTGAGTTTGTTATTGGTTCTCCCCCTTGCTCCTGGAGGTTTTTCTCCGGGTACCCGGAGGTTTTCCCTCTCCTCAAAAACCCCTCCAAATTTTAATTCGACCAGGAATCAAGCAGACGAAGAACCACTAAGTGGATGAGCAATGTTTAACTTGCTATTATGATTTATTTATTTATTTGGTTAATTGATTTCTTGTTTTCATTATAGGGAGGCGATTAGTCCTGGTTATTGTGGAAACCAGTTTATCTTGTTTGACGACATGCCATTGTTTTGGGACGCGTGGGATGTAATGCCTTACTACCTAGAGACGAGGTATGAATCTGCGTCGAGCCTTTGGTTCTTTTGAATGAAGTGCGTCGAGTAAGAAGATGACTGTAGTCAGACCCTTAATAGCTAATACCTCACCTTAGCTAACCATACTCCAGGCCTTCACTCCAAAAGGAGACACAAAGATGACGATGTGTTTACTCACTGACCTTCTGAGCCTTCAAAGTTCCTCTGCTTCTAAAGAAGTTGTTCTCCTAAGATTTTCAATATTCAGCATCTTGTCAGAGTCGTCATTTTGAATGATTAGTCTTCTGACGTCATTCGTGACGTCATTCCGTCCAACCTGAATTAAACTAGTGGGAAGCGCAAGCGCGCTGGAAAGCCCGCTTTTGAACTGTGTATTCTTAAAGCGTTGCACGCACTAAACTGGGAAAAAACAAGCAGACGTCTTTCGTCACTTAAGAACCGAGAAGGGAACTGTACCTAGTTAAGTTTCGGAAAGACAAAAGAACAAATAGCTGACTGACGCGTCCCTAGCAACAATACCGGAAGCAATTGTGGGACGCATTTCGGCTCCAGTTTCCCTCTCCTATTTGAAGTGGCGAATGGCCTGAGGAGAGAGAGATTGACGCAGAAAAGAATAGAATAGAAGATATAATCGAACGCACAGATTTTGCGCAGAAAAGAATGAATTAGAAGATAACTGACCGTTCAAATGTTTCTCCTATACATGTGTTTGATTTTTTATAACTTATATCACAGAAAATTATTACTTCCCACCTCATCTGAAGAATTCAAAATCCTTGAGGAAGGGCCTCTCAGAGTTTCAGTCGAGGTGAGTGTTGGGACTACGGTTGAAGGTTCTTAGGTCTTACCGTAGATCTCCTTGCAAGAAAAATTTCACGGGTTCCGGGACTCAGAGTAAAAATAGCGGGGAGCTTAAGTTCCCCAGATGGGACCCTTATACCGCCGTAATACATACCATTTGCTTAGTCACCGTCATACAGGTTAGCACCGTTAATAAGGTAACCAACCTTTGGGCTGGACCGCTGATTGTAAGGTCATTCTGACTGCGATTGAAGGAAAGTCCTTGTCTCAGCTCAGATGATCACATTACTGAGTGGCCATGGTAAACCATATTCCTTGTCTCCTTAACCTGTTTAGTCTCTCACATGTCGGGACAATTAAAAAACAAAACAAAACACTCTTTGCCAAGAGCAGAGGGAGTGTTCCCTTCAGTGGCCGATTTTGCCTCGGTCGGTATTAGCGCCATCCATTACTACTTCGCTCAGTAATTGTAGACTGCAGTGAAGCAACCTGTAGCAAAGTCAATCCGATAAAGTCCGCACAACGTTGAATGTTATCCTTGAGATAGCCCTCAGGGGACAAGAAGAGTACTTTTATTTGTTTACTTTCTGTTACCACGTTTCTTTCTTTCCCGCAGTTTTCCTTGAGAATCAGCGAGCACAGCTCTCTCAAGCAAATCGTTTCCTTAGACGCTACTGCACCGTATGTTAAATTCCATACAAAGGCAAGTGAAGTTAAAATAGAGTTGTTTTATACAGTATACCATTTACAGTAACGTTCTAACAAGTTTATATAGTGCTTGTTTTCATTGCGTTTGTATTCCCACGACACTCAAATGTTCTTGCAGGAGCATACATAAATATTCAAGCACGAGATGTTATCAAAACTTGCATACTGCCATGTAATGTCTTACTGTGATCTTTATTTTATGAGCTCCTCCTTCATTTTTGAAGTGGCCCTGTCGAAACTTCAGCTTTAAGATCACGTTCTAAGAAAAAACCAACTACCCTGCCTACTAAACATAGTACAGTCAAACTCCGCTTCAAGGACACCTTAGTATTACGGATAGTTTGGTTTCTCCCCGGGGAAAGAAAAATCCTTACATTTTCTCTAAATTCAACCTCGCTTTCAAAGGACCCCGTTAATAGGGACACTTTCAATCGCCACCTGCGTGGCAGGTGTTCGAAAGGGAAGGAGAAGGGAATTAGGGCGCGAGACCACGCGCGCCCCACACGCTCTCCCGCGCCCAAATTCCCCCTTCCCCTTTTAACACCTTCCACGCAGGCTACCTCAGCACCACTTACTCCAACCTGACTAATACACCTTCAGTCTGGAAAATCCTTTTTTATCTAATTTTACGTCTGATTGAATTTCTCTGTTCTTTTTACAGGTAAACTGGCAAGAGAACAGGAAATTCTTGAAGGTGGAATTTCCATTCGATGTTCGTTCGATGAACGCAACTTATGAAATTCAATTCGGTCACATACAAAGGCCAACACACTGCAATACCGCCTGGGACTGGGCCAAGTATGAGGTACGCATGCGTCACTATGTGTTAGTTACCAGCGGTGTTTACTACTGACTTGTCAGCGATGGGCGCCATTTCGGGGAAAAATTTTCCTCCGGCGTTAAGCATTTCAACGAAAGAAACTCGTTATTACGGAGAAGTCGAAACATATTTACGCCTACCTCTTTCTACATTCTCGCCCTTGCTTCCAGGGCTAATTGAAAGGTAAAACGCCTGAAATTATGTCTCCGGTGGAGCGTGTCAGCGTTGCGCGCGACGAGTTATATGTCTGGCCCCGGTTGTTCAAACGTTGGACAGTGTTATCCACCGGATAAATCACTATCCAGTGGATTAGTATGAGGGAAACCAATTGCGTTATCTACTGGATAGAGGTTTTTCCGGTGGATAGCGTTATCCAACAACTGGGCCCTGTTTTCGTTTACGACCGGGCTGATTTTAGCTTAATAGTAGGTTCTCAATGCGTTGGTTTTGTGTTATTATTACTTTTTGGAGAGGGGAGGGAGGCAGGTGAGGGGTGGCGGGGTAGGGACGACGATCAATAGGAATGCCTCTGTCGTACCGATAATGTCTTACTGACCTATTTCCAACAGGTATGTGGTCACAAGTGGGCGGACTTGTCCGAGCATGACTGGGGCGTAGCGTTAATGACTGATTGCAAGTATGGTTACTCAACTTATGCCAACGTCATGTACATATCACTGTAAGTTTCCATGACGACCTAATAACCCTTTAAGCCTAAAGAGTGATCAGCGTCAAAATTCTCCTTGTAATATCATTGCTTTATAAAACAGGACTTCTACAGGACAAACAATAAGAATCTGATTATAATATTGAGGTTTAAAGGGTTAAATTGTAATCTCGGCGAACATATGCCGTGCACGCTTCTTGTTGTTGGGGGAATTACCGGCTCCGAACAGTGTACAGTTTTTATAGATATTGGCGCTGGTAAACTATGGTCTACAAGGAACAAACCACTTCCTGTGCAACTGAACCTGCAATTGACTTAGTGCTCTCAGCAAATCACAGCTTCTCTCACCTTCATTTGGTAGAAGTCGCGCTCACACCCGCAGAAGGGGGACTCCCATTTTAGAGGAACGGGGATGCTTGTGGATCCCCCTGAGGGGTAGAAAGTTAAGAATTTGGTCTCATTCAGTGTTTGAGGGTGGAAAGTCAGAATTTTTACCACCAAAAGTATCGCTTAGGGTTCTGCGAAAAGAAATACCTAAATAGAAATTATTGTATTGGAGTATGTCCGACGAACATCTCCGTCTGGGATTATCGCAATTTCTTCAAATGTGTGCAATAAGTGGCGATTGATTATTTTTATTTCCGAATTTCGCATTGGATATTTCTTACCTATAGCAGGAGCCGGTATTAGAATACGAATGTCAGACATTTATTCAGTAATTATGTCTTTGCTGTTCTTTTTTTTTTAACAGTCTTCGTTCCCCCAAAGCACCTGACGACCAAGCTGACATGGGATCGCATGAATTCTCGTACGCAGTATTTCCCCACTCTGGTAAACAAACCACTTTGAATTGTTTGTTTGTTTATTTGTTTGTTTGTTTTGATCAGCTGAAGTGACAAATTGGTTGAGTATGATCGTCCGGTTGAACGTGGACTGTTGTTGACAGTGACTGAAGTTTCGACAACCTGTGCAGTAGTCATCTTCAGAGTCAAAGTGAGTTGTATCACGTCAGTTGATAGTGTTTCAGACCACATTAACTCAGACGATAATACTCAACCCACATATGAAATGACTTCTGGTTTCAAACTTTTCACAGTTTGAAGTGGTAAAGTTAATTTCCCGCCCTGGAAAGATTGAAAAGCTTACTTATGGAGCACTAGCCCTTCGCCAGAAAGATCTAAGGGATCGGGGTTGTGTTTGATCTACCGTATCCAGTGGTGAAGCGTCACTTGTTGTGAATAAAATAGAGTAGCATTAAAGAATAAATTAGAATGAAAAGTGTTCATGGATTCAGTGGTGAATCTGAATGCCGATTTTTGAAAGATGAAATTTAATTTAGATTTTACGGCTTCCCTTATATCGTCAAAGTGTTGTGTAAGCGTGAATTTTAATTTAAATATTTTATTCTAAGAGAGGATTTTTGCTCATTCACGTTTCTTCTGCTTCTTCTTCTTCTTACATCTTCAAGGTACTTTTCAAAGTGCAGGCGTTATTCAACATGCGTACAATTTTAACCAGCCAGTCATCGTCCAACCCTGCTTCGTTTGTACAGGTATGGAAAGCTTCATGACTTTCAACTCTCAGGAATATGCTTGATAATTTAACATGAAATTTCATTTAACACCCATAAGGACTTCAATGTAGGCCCTCCCTGGGGGAAGATCCTTATCGTAAATCGTAAACTGGAGCGCACCTACCCGGTTCCACATCTTGGTGGTGTGGAATGGAAAACATTCCTGTATTTTTCATTCTAAAACGTTGATTGTTTGTCAGTTTTTAGCCTTTATGGTAAGACTGACGGCTAAAGGTGAAATGGCTTTTTTCACTGGGTCCACTTTCTATCGACACGTCCTTCTTTGTATAAAACAACCTTTAGTTATTTCTCTCCCTGGTTACTTTTCACCACGAATTCATAATGGGGGAACACACCAGGAATACATGAAATTGAAGACTTTGGTACCGGGAGACCAAATCCATGCAGGGTTTTGCTGATATTTCAAAGTGCTTTTTAACTCGAGAGCTTAAATAACTTGCAGATTTCGAAGGAAGGTCTTTCTTTTCTGTGGACAACCCAGCAGTGATTTTGGAAACGGTTAAAAAGGTGTGTACCCACCGTTTATGTGCAACTTTTATAAGGTTATATCTTAACATTATTAACAGAACGCTGCAGAAGGAATGAGTTCGGATATTTAATCGATATTTGTTCATTTGCGAATCTAACACCGTCGGCACTTGGTTGCTTCTTAATATCTGTATGATAATAACGGGCCGAAATTTAATGGTTACAGAAACAGCAATATAAATTATGAGTTTTCGAAATCAGCAGGAACAAATGTTTTTCGTTTCTTCAGATTGATGAAATTATTTGGCGTTCAGTCTGCCAATTGACTCTAACTCCATGGGATCTAGACATTAAGTAGATGTTTGTTGGTTTCCACAGGCCGAGTCCGTACCTTCAGCTTTAGTCGTTCGTCTCTATGAAGCTTATGGAGGCCAAGCTCGCACCAATTTCTCCACAAATCTCCCGGTCAAAAGACTTACAAGGTAAGTGATATCCACACACTCTTTTCCACCATAGAAGTTCAAAAGCCGACACTTCGAGCTGTAGACCTTCGTCATAGCGAATCAAGGGATTAGTGTGGTAATAGTTGTGGGAGGTTCATAATTGAATGATGGGGCTACGCTTTGTGTAACGGTTTGTAGAAAGTGTGTGGGATTCACTCCAAGTTTCTTAGTGTAGTGAAGGATCGCCGCATATGTTGTGGACTGTGTATGAATGAATGAATAATTTTATGAAGATAATTTTATGTACAAATCCCATCAAGTCTGGCATCTTTCAGTTAAATTACGTTTTGTTTCTATCAAACACAGCTATAATCACATTACCAATTGCTGTTTTGGTCGCAAAGAACCGATGATTGTAGCCGTAATAATCAATTAAGGAAAATTCTGGCCAATATTGTCTTGCGCTGGTCTTTAATTGTGTTGTTATCTGCCAAAAATCACCTGCTGTTTTATGGTATAGAGAAGAGATGTCATTATGTCACGTTGCCGTGGTAGAAAAATTTCTGGATGAAAACAAACCGAAAACGTCGCTAAAAGGTGAATTCGCACTGTTTCAAACTACATCGATTTTATTCAATTTCATTTTATTTGTCAAATGTTGGGGAAATGTTTCTGGTGTTGAATCCGAAAGGACCGTATCTAAGTTTAGAAAAAGACAACGAAAAAATTCTATGTTGTGTTCACCTACTCTCTTAAGCGGGCGCGTGAAATTAGGAAGTGGAGGTTTCATGTCGTAGTCGTGCAACGACGGCTAAGAAATGTACAAAAATGCGTGATGCACGTGCAACGTTGTTGTTTTGCTGATATAAACGTACTGCTTTTTGCCGTTCTCGTTGCCGTCGCCGTCGTCGATGCTTAAGCTTCCTATTGTTGTGATCCAGAAAGTTTGCTACCATAGTAACGTGACGTCACACTTCTCTCTTTTGAAGTCAGGAATACTTCCCATTTTGGGGATCTTGCGAAACTGAAATGATTCAACAGTTTTGAAGTTTCCAGTTAAGACTCAAAATTAGTTCCGTGGATACGACGTTGGGAAATGAACTTAACTGTAGACAATTTTTAAGATGTCTTTATTTTGAAGAAAAGCTGCTTGTAGTTAAAGAAAATGTTTAAAGCTACCTAACTTGAATCAAAAGCTTGAGAAACTCGGGAAACTGCAGTACAGAATCACCACTGAAGTCTAATTTCAGAGCTTTCGTTGGTTTATGAAGTTATAAGAACCACAATTGAGACACAAAGCAGGTGGACTTTGAATAATCATAAAAGTTGGGTAAACAGTCGAATACTCTATTACAGGAAGTTCATCGAAGTGTTTGTCATTTTGGCAATTTTTTTTATTTTATGGCGAAATACTTGTATTTCCGTATTTAAAGATCGTAATTAAGGACGTACTCCTTAATCGCAAACACCTTTAAAAGCCAAAAATTGATCTGTTGCGAAGAACGTATGATAAACAGTTTCAGGAAATATCGAACTATAATAGGCGCTTACTTAACGGTAATACTTTAATAGGGACTGTCATTTCAGATATTAATTAAGATGTCTAGTTCCTCCTTGAAGGCGTGGGATAATTTTCTCCATTTTTTGCAGACATAATTTCGAAAACGAATCTTGTTACTTTTCGATTTCATTAAAAGAAACAAAGGCTTCAGGAGTCAATCCGCTTAGCTGGTAATTTTCTAAATAGCTTCAAGACTCTAATGATAAAATGGAAATCTCAGTGCAAAGCGCAGCAGGATTGGTGGTATAATGCAACCGCAGTTTTCAAACGTGACAACGAAGAGTATGATATGCTATAATTCTTCAGCGTTTTCAAGCACACTTCGTTTGTTTATATCATTAATGTTCCATTAAATTTTGTTTTGGCTCTTAACCTTACGCCGTTTGCAAAAAGAAAAGAAATAAAAGCATCTGTTTTAGGTTGAGACCTCGTTTACACCTGCATAACCCGTCGTCGTGGAATAATGCTCCTAATTACAATTCTATTGAAATCGCTTCAGGGAGACTGCTTTTAATTTCTCTCCAAGGAAACGTCTTTAATAATAAATTGCCAATACCTACACCTAAGTCTTTTTTAACTCTTTGTGCAATTAAGCATTTGTTTTTTAATCAGTTATCTGCGTATGAAACACGCTTAATTCGCGGTTTACGTCGGTATATTGATAGATTTGCTGTGTTGTTTGATCAACGAACGCGAGCAAGAAATGAACGAAAGGACAAGCGGACGAAACTTATCAGTGATATGTCAGCTGAATTCAACCACGGCACGAAACGCAACTCGTTGCTTTATGGCAAACCAGACGGAAGATGGCGATTTTAACTTGATAAACGAACTCTCGTTTGCAAAAATCTACGTCTTGGTCACTGCTAGTCTCTTTGGTGTTATACTCCTCGCGAGTTTAGTCGGTAGTAGCCTGGTAACGTTTACCGTTCTTCGACGCAGAAATATGAGAACGCCTTGCAATTACTTTATAATGAACATTGCCCTCGCTGACGTCGGAGTTGGAGCAATTGCCGCACCATTACGTATCCTCGAGTTATTCACATCATGGCCGTTTGGTGATTTTATATGTCACTTTTTGTGGCCTATCCAAGACGTATTTGTGTGTGTTTCGGTGCTTAGCCATACTACTATCGCTCTAGAGAGATATCGCGCCATCGTCCAACCTTTCAGGCCAAAAATGTCCTTGAAGAAAGCGAAAATTGTGATCGTGGTTCTATGGTTAGGGTGCTACTGCGCTAGTGGGATTCCTCAGTCGATTTTACTAAAAGTTGATGAGGATATGGGATGGAAATACTGCGATATTCAATGGCCCTCGCCGCTATTTCGCTTATGTTACTTGTGCTACCTGGTACTAGCATTTATCATAGCTCCGCTGGTTATACAAACATACTGCTACGTGAGAATCATCCGCGCTTTAAACCGCAAACAGGAATTTGGCGATTCGACGCGCATCGTGTCAAGAAACGGCAACGATCAACGGAAAGCGCGGCAACAGCGTAGAAAACGTATGGTACGCATGCTCATAACTACTTTAGTGGTGTTTCAAGTTTTTTACATCCCTCGCGGTTTTTTGATGCTAATACTCCAGTTTCAACCCGAAGAAATAGCTATAAGCGAAACATTTGCTTTTGTAGATTTGATCTGTTTGGTCCTTTACTACTGCAAACACATCGTCAACCCCGTGATTTTATTTGCGATGAGCGAAGATTTTCGTAAAGCGTTCTTAGCTGGTTTAAAGTGCGTCGGTCAGACCGAACGGTTGGACACTCTTTTGAGTCAACAGGACAATACTAATCAGGAGTCTCCTCAAGAAGCTACAGTATAAACTGAGATTAACTCTATCCTTTAATCTTTTTGTTTTGTTTTGCTTTGTTTTTTTTGCTCCAGAGAGAGTCAAAGGAGGAGTTCAAGTGACGGGGATGATCAAAAGAGGGCAAAAAATCAAATTAAATACCGTAAAATTCCGAAAATAAGCCCCGGGGCTTATATTTTTCAAAGGGCCTTTTTGAGGGACTTATTTTTGGAGGGGCTTATCTACGGAGGGAAATTTGCGTTTCAAAATCGATTGGGCTAGCCTTATAGTTGGAAGTAAATTTACCGTTTTTGATTTGTTTTACTTTGTATTTGAGGGAAGTTTCCAAGTACAAGCCCCCAGGGGGCTTATATTTGGAGGGGCGATTTAACGGAGGGTTTTTGGCGTTACCAGTTTGGGAGCTCATATTTGGAGGCGCTTATTTTCGGAATTTTACGGTATTCAAACAACTGGAAAACACGTTTAGTTGTACCTTTTAGCAGGAGCACATGAATATCTTATGGGCTTCCGCTTTTAGGGGAATAGTGCGCTGCCCGGATACGCGCACGCGCGCGCGGTACTACGCCAATTTTCAGATTCATGTTTTTTGTATATCCCCATAAAAATACTTGGGAAATTTTCCTACCCAAAAAGTCCCTGGATACAAAACTTTAAACGTACAAATATCGTTCTATCATCCCTATCACTTTAATTCCGGAGTATACCCTCCCCGCTCACCGGGGCGCTTCTTCAATTCTAAAGTGTTTGGGGTTGCGGTGCACTGTATCAGTATAGGGTTTTTATAACTCGGGTATACCCTACCCCTTGACTAATAGTTAAGATAGCTAATAAGTTTGGCGCACAGAAAGCAAGGTGTCCTTCAGCGTTTTAAATTATCAGGGTAAGCGAGTCAAGAGCAATTTTCGCGAATGTGCTAAAATAGAGAGATTTCAGTCTTAATTGAATCTTCTTTATTATAATTTTGATTGTTAATGAAAGTGAAATAAAAAAAGACCGCCGTTTTACTCGTTTACTTCATTCGGCAAGACCGTCGGTTGCAACTCTAGCGATCGGTATTGACTTCGGTGGTGTCCCGTGATCCAAACGGTCTTTTGTTTAATTTCCGTGTTTATCCGAAGCCATAGTTCATTTACCTCATTAAGTTGATCGCTGTCTGTTTTGTGCGGTCGTTCTATCGTTTGGTTGGTGACAAAATAATCTATACGAATAATTATTCAAACGTTACGAAGGCCGACTAGATTTAAAGCGCTAAACGGGTGGGGCATGGAATTGCGCTTAACACAGTTGCCAATGTGCCTAGATTTCCCGTCGTGCGATCCAGTCCTGGAAATACGTTACCTATGAAATGGTGTAACAAGAAAAATTAGACTGGGAAACGTTATTCGACGTTTCGGTGTTTCGAACATCCGGAAGATTATCAAGAATGAAAACCGTTATATGTAAAACTTGTCGAGGTTTGAATAAATTATGGCATTCGTGCATACTTGATGTCCTAATAGAAAAGCTTCGCGCGAATCGAGTTTGTTGGTTTGAGTTCCCGCCACTTGTACATCTCTCATGATGCACCTTATGCAAAATTTTGCATAAGCATTGTTTCCAGTTTCTCTTGGGACGGCTGTAATTCCCAGGAGAAATTAAAAAGAAAGGTTACTGAAAATTTGCGGGGGTGGGGCGCAAATAAGGTATGGGAGACGTGCAAGTGGCGTATAAACAGTATTTCGTAGACAAGGCATTCAAATTACTTTCTGCAATTTTTAAGGCCGGACACATAACGGTTTTCATTCTTGATAGTGATGTTCGAAACAACGAAACGTCGAATAACGTTTTTCAGTTTAATTTTTCTTGTTAAACGCTTTAACAAGCAACTGGCCATCCGATCTATAAAATTGTTGACCAAAATACTTCATCGCACCTTCCTTGAAGACCTCAACCTCGTTCCCAAGGTTCTCGCTCTTTTTCTTCGAAGCAAGAGAGAGAGCCCTCTGGGCCCTCTGAGGCCTCTATATTTTTGCTCATTAGCATACGAGTTAATCCATAGAAGATATAGCCCTATATACAAATTAGGTTCAAAAATTAAAAGAGCTGGTTACTTTATGTAGTTTGTGCAAGTTTCAGCTCTTTGCAAGTAGTAACAAAGAAAATAGCAGCAATTAAAAACTGCAAAATTACTGGGTGGTTAATGAGCTCATACATTCTTTCTAAATTTTGGGCTTTTTCAAGGAGAGTTTCTCCGAAACAATTTGGTATATCGCGCTCAAATTTTCAGAGGTAACTGAAATTGTTTTGCTCTTTCAATATTCAGAAATTTCATTTTATTAGCTTCATCGGATAATGATAAGCCTATTCTAGTGAGGCGAAAAATGTAAACAAGGATTCGCATAATTATGCATAATTAAGATAGTAATATTCGTTGCAACCAGACCAGAGTAACTGGGTGAGTAGCCTGTGAACAGGCTCTCTGTTTGGGGACAAAAATAGCAAAGGCCTGTTCACAGGCTACTGGGTGAGTAAACTCAGGTTTTTTGCCTTTTCCAGGTGCAATCTTTTGGAGACCCCGGATGAAGATGGAGAGGTTAAATGGTCTTCTGATCACTGTGAACTTAGTTTTCGTCCTTTTCAGATAATTACAGTTTTACTTTACTTTTAATATCAGCAGGTAATATTTTGAATTTTTATTTTGAATTCTTTTATCGTGGTAAATAAGAAGAAACAAATTTTAGGTGTAGTGCTGTCAGCTACAATCATAAGTGCTTTGTGGTCTTTGTGATGTGGGTCTTTATTGGCTAGTTAACAGTCTTACAAAAATAATTTGAAACCTGCCACGTACCCAGCCCAGACGCCTCTCTGTCGATGAAAATCTGCGCTTTGTCATCCGGCAGTCACTACTACAACAACAACAACATAAACATTATTAAGAGTAGCTAACAAGCTAATATCTTCGAGCTGACACTACATAAAAATGATATATAAATATAGATAAACCTTCAATGCATTATAAATAACAATAATAATAATAAACACATAAAAGAAAAAAAATGTTATTTACAATTTGCAATTTTAAGTAAAAGTATGTACAAGCAAAAAGAATCTGCATGAAGGTAACATCCTGTATTTTGGTCGTAAAGTTTGTCACTCGCGTTTCGTGCTCGCCTCCGCCATTCGAAATACTAATCATTTTTACTATGATTAATTTGAGCCACGCACGTCAACCGGAAGTGATTTATTTTGTGTCTCTAACATGCCTTGATGATATAAAAAATTGTATTCCTTTGGAAGGTTTAACTTTTATAGAGTTTTGATTTGTTTGAAAATTTTCTTTCACTAAACCACCGTCAAAAATCGATGAAAAAATAAAATTGTATTTGATTGTTCGCTTAAAATGTTGTTGCTGAAATTTAATCGCTTGTGAGGAGGAGGCCGATTCCAAACTGCTTTCGTGCGCCACGACACTTAGCACAATTAAAAAGACCTAATAAGGGTGATACGATTTTTTCGGATGGCGGGAAATGACGACCGGAAATACGTCTGCGTTCGCTGGCTACACCGCTGGACATATTTTCTAAAAACATAAATCCGTATTGTAACGCCTAAATAGCGACAGGACACCCAGGGAAACACAGTGGACCCAAAGAGTTGTGTGCTGCTCTCTTGAAGGTTAGCAGCATTGTTGCAACACGTTTGGGTGCGATCATCCTTGTCCTCAGGCGTTTGTGGTATTTTCTAAGGGAAAGCCATTTACGTAAACTAATTAAAAAGGTTTAACAAACTTGTTAAGGGCTGTTCCGTTCTTGCATTTAAAATCGATCGGGTTCGGGAGAAAGTAAACCCCTCTTCCCCCCCGTCTATACTAGTCTTTCGATTCCTTAAAGAGCCATTTCCTGTTACTGTCAAAAGTATGACCCTGACCGCTTTTCGTAAAACGTGTGGAAACCGGTCACATCGATGGACGTGCCAGCTGCCCGAATCGCGTTGCCAAATGTCTTGTCCAACCTGCATCTAATACAGGGCCGGCGGAAGCCAGCGGAGGCTATCTTTTAACTTGCGGTGAACGAAAGGAGGCTAAACTTAAACCGATTCGCTGTTTGTTAGACCAGATTTTTTACCGACATATCACATTGCAAGAATGCTAATTTTAAAATTCAGTAGTTGTTGATATGATTCAAGCAGTGAAAACTAGCTGAAAATGGCAAAGAGAACCTGTTTGACAATTGAATCACAACTAAACTTCTATACGCGTTTTCAGACCCAAACGGTGCCAAAACCATACCCTTTGGGGCGGCACATACCTATATGGTTTATATAAGGGCGTGCCCGCGGGAAATAGGGTCAGGATTTGGAGAAAGGGGCGGCGCACCCCCACCAAGAATTCTTCGGAGTTCCCCCCGGGAAGTTTAAAAATATGAATTGTACGTGATGTTGTAACTTAAGGCTCCTTTTCGCTCGCGCCACAGGTTTTTCTTTCCGCTTGCATTTCCCCCTGTCGTCTGCTATAAAGACGGGAAATGATCCTCCTTTCGTTCCATCAAACTTTAAAATCAAATGAACGCATGAAGCCGGAGAATTTCTTAATCCCTCTAGTGTGATCATTTAAATGAAACCTATTTAATAGGCAATGTTATTACGTGAAAGTATTCGAATTTTCACAGCATGTAATTCGAAATGCTTCGCGAATTTTATTTTGGGCCACTCTTAGGTGTAAACAGACTCAACACCAGACGGACAATTTTTTCAAAAACTTTTGGAAAGGTGGAAAAAGGAACAAAGCATATTTTGCCGATAGAAAGGAGTTATCAACTAACGAAACGTCTGAGGTTGATTGAAAAACTGTTATCTGTTTGCGGTGTGCTTTGGAAGGAAGGCGGCGAAATTCGCGGAGAGATTTTACTCAGATAAAGTGTTCTCACTTAAGATACTAATGTCATTAAGGACTCCCCGCGAACAAAACAATGATTTGCTTTACTTTTACTCCTGTACCTTGACTAACTACTTGTCTTTATATTCAATTTATTCATTTATTTTTTTTACTTCCTAATAATATTAAAGTTTTACCGATAGTGTTAGGGAATTATGCTCTTAGCAGTCTAGTTTTTTAACTATAGTACTTGCCTGTTGATTTCCGATGAAATGTGGCTTCTTTTGTAACGCAGCTCAAAAAAAATTGTCTGCCACAATTGCCACAGACTAGACTATAAATAAAAAAAAGAATGATTAGCCCGAGGGCACTTAACGAAAGCTTGGATAGGGTGTTACTTTTATAAACTCCCTTGAAGCCTGAAGCCAATGAACGCTCTCCGTCAAAAATTCTCTCAAGCACAAACAACTTGCCACTTGGTCTACAGCTTTATTCTGTGTAATAATGATAAACTCCATAAACAGAGATGTTGGTTATACCCTGTACAAGACGTTAAATATTATAGTTAATGTGAATACCCTGACCCTTATGAGTTACTATCCTCACTCATGCTTTTCCAAAATCGAATAAAGTTAAAAAATGTCCGAAATTTTAATTCAGTTGTGTGCAATGGAACAGGAAATTACGCCACGAACAAAGTCAACATTACAGTATGCAGTCTTATGATACCCGTAATTTTTCAATTTTGTCGTGTGAAATTCACGTTTTGACCTTAGAGGTGAGATTGGAAGTAAGGAAATAGGAGGGCCATTTATAAGAGGAAAAATAAGACGCGTCCTGAATAAGACGCAAACTATCTAGTATAAACGCGACTTAGCAAAGACGCGTCTTATCGAAGAACAGGTGTTAGGGGCTGTTCTTAGATAAGACGCGTCTTCGCTAAATTTCAAACGAAATGTGCCGTTTATACGGGATAGTTTGAGTCTTATTTAGTACGCGCGCGTCCTATGTAAGACGCGTCTTGTTTTTCCTCGTTTAAACGGCCCTAGTGTCTCTTTGGGTTAGATGGAAAACGTGAGTGTGGAGTAGAAAGAAAAGAGTTTTGGAAGTGCGGAGTACGGAAAATGAGGTGTGTCAAAAATGTGGATTGTGGTGGAAAGGATGGAAAATAGGAAGCGCTGCATTCTTTGAAAATTGATTTAATCAAATTTTGTTTAATTTGACAATCAATAAATTATCAGACCATGTTCTTTTTAAAATTTTCATTCTTCTCTAAAAATAGACCCCAAGCGCTGTTATTACTTGGCGTAGAAAGTGCTAGGGAGGCTATGGCGAAAGAGATAAAAACAAAACCCTTTTGTGGCCAGCTCATTACCCTTGTGGGCATTTTTGTTTCTGTCCTTGAGATCGCGACTATATTTGTCGTACAACACTTTGTACTTGCTCTGCGAACTTTTCATCGAAGTTTTATTCCACGGCCATCAAATGTTTTTTGCCAAAGCGATCCTGATCCTGGAACTAGTATAACTGGCCAAGAAAAACAGATCGCCTTCCTTCCGTTTTCACACGCATAACACAGACGCAATCATAAGCACAAGAAGAAGGAACACTTATTCATTCTCAAGATTTTGCTGGCTTTCATAACCTTTTCTTATGCTCGCGCGTTTGCTTGTCTCGCTAGTAAATCTAGTGAAAACCATACATGAAGTCAGATTGTTGGCTGTTTATTGATTGTTAATGTTTGTTGTCAAATTAGATTAAACTGCGTGAGTCAACCATCAAGTATTATACCTCTTCCTGTTTTAAGAGTTTGACACATTTCTTTCTTCTTTTTTTTTAATTTTTCCACCACTACTCTTTATTTTCCACACCCCAGACGCTGCATTCCTCGTTTTCCATTTTCCTTTTTCTAATTCATTCCAGGTGTGGTCCACTCGAGCGCTTTATCAGATGTTTTTTTTCCATTTGTAGCGTGAAGAAAATATTTCTTGTGTATTTGTCCACTATTGTATTGGTAAATCTAATTTCTGACTTTGATGCCAACACGTTCATCAGGCCACCGATCACAAAATAGAACGTGCCTTGGCCTTCTTCGCTTATGCTTAGAGTTTTCGGAATGCAAAACTGAGTGATATTTTATTACCCAAAGGAAAGCTATCAGTTATCAAATGTTATCATAAGCACGTGTGTCAATTCATCACTACCCGGGAAACGATGACATTCTCTCTCGTTTCTGTCTTGACCTCATGCGGACAAAGTCACAAACATGAGGGTAATGAAGGCGGGTGAATGGTTGGATGCTGTGTCAGCAAACACTTAAAGAAGGTGAAAAGGACATATCAAGTTTTGCTATTGTGGAAACTATATCGATTTAACAGGTTGAAGGAGGCAGGATTTCAAAATTATCTGTCCATTCCTCTCTATCAACGTTACAGGGACGAAGATGGCCGATTTTGCAAGCCCGACTATCTCACAAAATTTCTCTTCTGTTGATACATCAAAGTTCGACAAATTTGCAACAACTCCTTCATCTTTGGATGAGTCATACGAGCAAGCCTATAAAATAACAACGACAATACTCTTTTCGGCTGTGACCTTTTTCGGAGTTTTTTTCAACTCCATCATCGTTTTCACCGTCTACCGATACCCTGAGATGCGTTCGCCCTGCAATCTTCTCATAGTGAACATCGCTGTAAGCGACCTGGCTATTGCTTCGTTGGCTGCCCCTTTGCATATTATCGACGAATTTGTGGGATGGCCATTCGGAGACACCATGTGCAAAATTCTTTTTCCAATGCAAGAGTTATTCGTTACCGTGTCCGTAGCAACACATACAACGATCGCAATGGAAAGATTTCGGGCGATTGTACGGCCCTTAAAAAGACGTCTAACATTACGGGGCACAAAATTTATAATTTTCGCAATATGGCCACTGTGTTACATAACCTCTTCGCTACCACTCGCCCCTATTATGATCACGGTGGAAAGACGAGGTATGAAACGATGCATGGTCCAATGGCCATTCGAGCTGTACCGTCCTATTTATCAAGTCTATCTTGTTATTGTCTTCATTGCTATTCCTCTGTTCACACAGACAATGGCTTACTTCAAGATCCTAAAAACACTACAAACCAGGCTCGTTCCTTCGAGTGCGCTGACTGACCAGCTGACTGACAACACGTTGTTCACGCGTGCCATACAGCAACAGAAACGCCGGCGGCTTATCAAGACTTTGGCCATCTTAGTTTTTGCCTTTCAAGTGTGCTATATTCCGCGCGGAGTGATGATGCTTATTTATGGATTTTCCGACACAGCGGATTTGAACATGAGTGCCTTTCTTTACATCTATCTATTTACGCTAATTTTGTTCTATTTGAAACATGTCATGAATCCTATTATTCTCTTTGCCACAAGCTCTGAGTTTCGCCGCTCAAACTGTCTACGTATCATCTGTCAATAATAATGCTTGGCCTCTCGACAACTTGACCTGGCCTACACACCAAAAGCCGGAATTTTTTAGAATTTTTAGGTTATCAGAAGAATTTTAAAAATTTTAAGGGATTTTCTAGGAAGATGAAGGATTTTTGCAGGATTTTTAGGCGATTTTCACGAAATGTTGTTCGTTTGTCTTTGATTTTCTCTACTGCCATTGTGATCCATACAGTTGAACCACAGAGAGCCCAAGCTCGAAATATGAGCATCGGCGAACATCGTCATTCGAAATATACGGATTTGTATGGGAAAAACACCTATCGTTTCTGTAACCTTCAAAAATGAAACGATTTCAATAAAAAACTGCTTACCTTTCTTAAATGTGTGTTGCGTCCCTCCTGTGTAGTCCACGGGCCGATATATGGCCTTTTTATGGGTTTTTGGGTAAACGGTTTTCTCTCTATGTAAAGTTGGAGAAAACCGTCAGGAGCCGATTAATCGTCCGTTTACCCAAAAACCCATAAAACGGCCACATATCGACCCGTGGACTACGCAGGAGTGACGTAACAGCCATTTAAGTAAGGTAAGCTGTGTTTTTATTGAAACCCTTTCATTTTCGAAGGTTACAGAAACGATAGGTTTTTTTCCCATACAAATCCTTATATTTCGAATGTTACGCAATAATGACAATGTTCGCCGATGCTCATATTTCGAGCTTGGGCTACCTGTGGTGGAACCTCGATATAACGAAGGGCCAAGGGACTGGCAAGATTTGTTCGTTATAAACGTTTCGTTATATCGAGGCCCTTTTGTCACATATTTTACTATCAGAAAGGTAAAAAAAGATCGTACGTTGAAACGAGGACTTCGTTACATAGAGGCTCGTTAAATCGACAGTGGAACCTCGATATATGAAGGGCCAAGGGACTGGCAAAGTTTCTTCGCTTTAACGCTCGAGTTTACGTTATATCGAAGTTCTTTTTCATACATTTTACTATTTCTGGGGTAAAGAAAATCGTTCGTTATACCGTTCGTTATGTAGAGGTTCGTTTATATCGGGATTCCACCGTTAAGTATCTATACTGTTCCTTAAATTTTCCAATTATTAAGTAGTGCCTGCAATCCAACCTAGCAGCGGTCTGAGTGAAGTCAACGGGTTGATATTCTTTCCGATTTTATTTATTTTATAAGTGGAAGTAGGGCGCTGTGAAAACTATCGCACAAAAGTGTGGGGGGTTTGGAGATGTTTAGAAATTCTTGGGATTTTTAGACAGTCAATTGAAATGGGAATTTCGGTAGAGATTTTTAGAACATTTTTCGAGATTTTTATGTCTAGGCCTAAATTATTGGGTTCTCTAAACTTCTTTGGCACGTGTTAGTGCGAATTTATCCTTTCTTTGCTTTTCTCGTCTTGGACATTTTTTTATTTCCTGTCTGACGAAGGTCAGGAAAAGTTACCGAAGTTTCCAGATTAAACGACCTTAAACCACTACTACGTTAGCTTTTTCTTGTCATCTTTGTTTAAGTGTTCAAAAGTTAATCCAGGTGCTTTAAAGGAGTAAATCTCTTGCCAGGCCTTTTTGGCTTTATTTTCTCTTTTTTCTACATTAGTCTCACGGTCATCAGTGCAGGAGTTAACACCATACTGCATAAGATCAAAAGAACCTACCATTTTTGCAGATACGATTTTAACTTTTAATAATACCAACTACTCGGACTGTCGCTTTTAACTGAAAATCAACTCATCTCTCTCCAAACTCGGCGTGAGACCAAGTGAACAATAATTCTATACTGTCAGTTAGTGTGAATGACTTCTGCGGCTCACAGTTATTGCAAACGTCTTTAACATAGAAGAAAGTAAAAATCAAAACACCAAACTCTATAGCAAATGTTTTTCAATGCTTTTCACGTTTGGGTGATTTCCGTTTGTAAACAGCAAGTCGAATTCTTTGACTATTTGACGAAATAATTAAAATTGATCTTCAAGCTGAGTTATCCCGTCATGAGATTTTGCGCTTAACGGCAGATTCCAGTAATGGTTAATGGGGGAGGTCAGATGTGTTCCTTTGCTGTTTATATAACATGTGTTGGACTAGAAGCAGTATGTGTGAAAACAACAGAAAACTGCTCCTCAGAGCAGAGGTTAGTGAAAATACAAAGTAAAACAGGAAATGAACAGCGATACTACTTCGCTTGGAAACGGCAGAAACCTTTCGCCCCGGGGGCTATATATTATAAATATGTTCTGAGGGGGCAATTTTAAAAACCTGACCAAAGTGATAGGCAGGCCTCAAGGTTAGCCTGTCTGTTATGGCTCGCCAGAGTCAGACTATTTTTTTTTTACCTAGCCTTGGTATTGTTTTTTTTTATACTGAAAGAAAAAAATCCTACTGCGATTTACGCACCGATTTAACATTCTCTAGCTGATATCAATTTACTTCCGTTTCTTCCTCGAGGTATACGAAAGGGTTGGGAAATCTGTCATCATTTCGGAATAGAATGTATGGCTGTGAAAAGTGGGGAAAACGTTCTGGTTTTGTGCTTTATTCATATTTCAAATACAGTGCATTTACAGCAGTTAAAAAGATGCAAAATTCTAAACTAAGTATGAGAAAGAGGTACCATTTTTCCACAGAAGTTATGTATACTAAAGGGGAACCTTTTCTGTCGAAGATGGTATAGAAAGGTGTGTAAGGGGTTGGGCCTCGGGGCGGAGCCCCCCCTTATGAAACTTTGTTGAGTACTCACTCCTTCGTCCCACCAAGGTAACCACCGATAATTTTAAAACTAACCAGTCTGTCTGAATTCCTCCGGTGTGACGGTCGAGGAGCGGTGACGTTCTTAAGTGGGGTACTCTCATATATATAGATGTACAAATGTTTTTAATAGCCGTTTACCGTTTAAAATAAGGTTTATATAACTTTGTGAATGCGACAGGCGCTGTTATTGGTCCTTGTCCACTGGTCATGTATTATAGAGTACAGAAACACGATGTACGTCTCAGGAAACTTAGTTTTCTTTGTTTTGTTCAACATGGCGCGCGGTTTAAAAGTGTTTGCGCGGTTATTTCAGATTGAACAAGTGAAGATCTTGGAAAAGTTAAGCAGAGGCTGTTTACAAATCAAGAAGGAAGCAACGGAGGCGAAAAGTACTCCTGGCGACTTAAAAATGCTTAAACTGGCACAATCTTCGAAACAGCTGTCATTGTTCTAGGAGTTGACATCAGCGTTGAAAATTTTCACGTAACTAATTTTGCTTTGAGCAAGTATAAACGTTTAGGAGAAGGTTACGATCCAGTTCAAATAGGTGAGGACGTAAGAAGAAGCTGATACGAAAACTGAGTTGCATCGTTGACTCGAAAAATGTTTCAACTGGAATAAATCCTTTAATAGTTAAGCGTTTCGAGGCGAGTGTATCGTTCGGCAAACGGCGATTTGTAACACGTGACCAAATTTTCCTTTTTTAATACCTGTCGTGTACTGTTCAGTTTGTCTACACAGAAAATAGGAGTTAAATGCCACTTTCATCCATAGTAATAAACTTGGAGAGTTTTTATTGCTCATTTCCTAATTTGAGAACTTGTCAACTCATTTCTGACGTTTACCGTAAAAGTAGTTCTAAATTTCTCTATTGTTCTAGTGGCCAATGTTTTAACAGGAAATATGTTCCAGCTAAACAACAAAAGAGGGACTGGACACGAATATATGAAACTCAAAGAGCAGCTGGATTTATAGCTCATTAAAGAGTTTTTTATTCCCACGGTAGCTTGGCAGGTGCAATTTAATAACACCTCGCAATTACCTCGTCAGCGAAAGTTATTACAGCGTCCTGAGTTGAAGTAGCTACCTTGTTCTTCAATTTCACTACCATCACTGAACTTTTATCGCTTAATACTTACTTAACTTACTCGGTTAGTGGGATCTCACTTGCCATAATTACTGGAGAGGTCTGTCGTTCAATACTGAGCCGATTTTAGACTCATTTTGCGGCTCTGAAAACAGAATATTACTCAGATTACTGAACCAAGGGCAAGACCAATATAAATGCCGAGCCACGCGAAAAGAGATATTTCAGTTATTATAATCAAAATTGCAGAAAATACGGCCCAACAAATGGTAAATATAAATGGTAAAGCAAAGTAAGCAAAAATTGCTAATTAAAAGGTACCATAACGAATAAAATGTTGAAAATTTCGATAGATCCTCATACGTGTTTTCTCAGACTATTTGGTCGTTTATAAACCTAAAAACATTTTCCCTTCAGTTACTCGATCAGAATATTTCTGACATGCTATAGTTTTTCTTCCTTATTACTTTTTACTGAACTTACTGACGAATGTTTAAATTTATTGTATTCCTCTTTCACAGTCGTGGTAGACTTTACTCCTCCGCGCCGAGAGAGTCTTTTCAGTAACATTTAATGGGAAAAATTGTGGGCTACAATGCTTACGCATTTAGTTGTGGAGGAAGTTTGAAAAATAATGATATTTGAAAAGAACTTAAATATGGTCAATGTTGATGATAAATATAACAAAATATTTATGTGCTAACTTATCGTGTTAGGTTGTTAAAAGCTTATTGATTATAGCCTGTTAATGCAACTCGGTCTTCAGGATGTTCTAGCAATTAACAAAAACAAAACGTGTTAATAGCACTTGAATGAATACGTCTATTAGATGTTTTTACAATAAGCCCCGAGGCAGAGAAACAAGAAGTTAAATCATGATAATTGTGAAACTTTGCTTTTTATTATCGCCGCCTTTCGGCGTCATTTCCTTTCGCATTTCCATTTTAAAGGAAGAAATCTATTGACGTCCGTCACTCAAAAAACACACACTGCCATAGCCGTCTAAAGGAGAAATTGGAATACAATTACAGTCTTACTCGATTGCAACACAGAGCCTTGCCGAGATCTTGGTCTGAGTGAGCTGTACGTCACGTAGGCCGTCGTGATTATCTAAAAGGTAAGAACAAAGTTCACGTTAAACGACTGACTAGGCGGAACATGTTCGTGAAAGAAAGGCAAACTGCCTTTTTGTAATTTTTTTTTTTCACACTATTAACCCCCACCCCCATATCGAAAAAATGTTCCCTTTGTCTTAGTGTTAGTGGCTACCAAATGATATCAAATGTAATAAGACCTGCAGCAATCTTTTTTTCCGACTTGTTTAGCTGACGGGGCAGGGTATTTTGCAGAACGCCGAATGCACACCGAATGACCCTGAGTTTTTAGTAATTAGGGTTAGGAAACTGAGTGAATCAGGTTTCAGGTAAGTTTTCCCAGTACAATGACCCTAAATGAAACCTGATTCACTCAGTTGCCTAATCCTGATCACTATACTCCAGGGTCATTCTGCGTTCGGCGTTCTGCGAAATACCCGTTCGTAGTCTAGCCGACAAACCTGACCCTCCTCTCATAGTTATAAGCGCAGCATATCCGGATTGTAATAAAAGAATTACGTGCGTTTCGCACTTCAACAGGACAGGTTTAGTTTTGTAGTTCTACTACAAAGTGCCTCACATGATTATTTATCTGCTTGGACACTTACCTTAAATTTGCGGTTCAGTTTTGGCAACACAGATTGGAAAATACATTCCGCCATGTTGGAGGGAATCGCCGACGCGGTTGAGTGACACAATTACTATTTAACGGCGGGATTCATAAGTTTTTGAGGACCAATTTGATGGCTTGAAATAACAAAATTTCTTTCTAAATTACAGCCGCCTAGACATAATCAGCCTTTTTCGTCTGATTTTATAGACTTGCAGTCGCTTTTCAATTTTTCCATTTTTTGGTCTTGCAGGGTTTACCAAAATTAACAAACTTACATCTTGAATAAATAATAAGTTGGCAGCGCGCACAAGCGGTTCAATAATAAATGGCACAAACAGCGTTAACAAACTTTAGCTACGATACCCGGACAGCAGCTCATCGAAACATGACAACTGATTCCAGCAATGGCACCGAACAATCTGAGCAGGACCAAGTCCAACTGTTTGATCCGATGTCGTACAACATCATGGTCGTCGCCTTCTTTTCTGCTATTTTCGCGTTCGGTTTGGTTGGAAACGCTTCGCTTTTAGGCACCATCCTGCGGCGGAAGAAGTTAAGAAATCCATGTGGCCTTTTGCTGGCCAACATTGCCCTGGCGGATCTGGGTGTTGCAGTGATTGCCGCGCCTTTAAGAATCGCCGAGCTGTACTATATCGGTTGGCCGTTTGGTTCCGCCCTCTGCCGCCTGATTCCTCCTCTACAAGACGTAATGGTGTGTGTATCTGTCGTCACACATTCTACCATAGCCTTGGAACGCTACAGAGCGACGGTTACTCCGTTCAAGGCGAGACCGTCATCAGGCAAGACAAGATGTGTCATCTTTGGAATATGGCTGTTCTGTTACATGTTTGGAGGTCTTCCATTAACCTTCCCGCTTAAACTGGAGACCTTCGAAGGGGTGGTGTATTGTTTTCCAGACTGGACTACTCTATATCGCAGAGTTTACGAGACCTACTTGGTGGTGATCTTCATCGTGGTTCAGCTGGTCATTCAGAGCTATGCCTACATAAGCATCATTCGAGCCTTGAAAAGCAAAAGTGAAATAATTTCCATGGTAGCAGCCAAAACGGAAAGTATGGTGCAGTCGGGGACCTCTTTTGACTCGCGAGTTTCGTGCAAGGGAATGGCTGCGAGTATGAAGCGTAAACAAAAACTTGTCAAAATGCTTCTTGTTTTGGTCATAACTTTCCAAATTTGTCATCTCCCTCGTGGAATCACGATGCTTTATCGCGAATTTGCAGATCCCTATTCGATTGGTCCAACATTTGAGTATTTAGACCTTATAGCGCTTGCTCTGTACTACCTGAAACATGTAATAAACCCTTTTATTCTGTATGCAATGAGCGCAGACTTAAGAAATGGAGTGAAAATGTGTTGTTGTAAACATGGTAAAGGCACAGAGAACTTTCAGAACAGCCAGATTAAATCAACGTTCTACTCTGTCCCAAAGCGAACAGTAGATTTCGACGAAGAACGACTGGAGGAAGATGAAATTGAACAGCCACTGTAAACAGACACTGTACTGTGCACAAGCGTCAGTGAACGCCGAACTAAAAGACAAGGAAGGCTTTAAAGCCAAGTCAGTAATGCAAAAACTCATTCTATAAAACTCAGTTTCTTTTCTTTTCTCTTTAATAATATCTATAATCGAACACAAAATGACACAAGCCATTTGAAACTTAGAGCTAAACAAAATTAAAGTCGAAAATTACTTCGTCATTTTAATATTAATTTGTCACATAAAATTATAGTAATCGCTTATGTAATATGTGGATCCTACGATGCCAATTAACCCGTGTAGAAAACCCAGCATATCTTGTGAATAAATATTTCAGCGCATATTGGTGTAATTTGCATACATTGTGGGGAAATTATCGTTTTTATGAGCTGTTGTTCGAAACCGCCTCTATGAGGGGTCGGTCGCTTAATTAGTACGGTTAAAACAAAATTATTTATTTTATCTATTGTGTTATTTTACGCTTTGTGTGATAAATTTTAAATGGTTCGCTTTTCCCGATTTTAAGTTCCGACTTTTTTATTTCTTTCAATTACCATTTTGATCATTGAAATGGTCAAACTCCAACATCACAAATTCTCATGATTCAGAATAAGAATTTGCTTGGGAACTGCCTAGCTTTTAGTTTGCGTTTATAAGCCGTCTTTTGAGTTATAAACTGGGGTTTTAGATATCGCGGAGATTCCCAATAAATTTTCACTCGACACGAGTCTTTCTTGTTCCATTTTTAATTAAAATGACGGATAAGTGCTCAAGTTTGGAAGGAATGAAACACCGGATAATTATTTCATGGAGGTTACTTGTTGCCCGTGGCCACAAATAAAGTTGGTAATTTAAAAATATCGCCGTTTTGTTCTGTTGACTCCCACAATTTAATTGTCCGACCTTTGCAGATAAACAATGATCGAAACACTTTTATATTCATATCTTTCATCGGGTTTTTAAAAAAGAAATTCAGATGTCTTGCGTTTTAATCGATAATCACTTGAGCTCTCGGCTGTCCTTAACATGAATAAATTTGATGTTCAATTTCCTTGTTATTTTAGACTTTCAATGTTGGCAACTTCTAGCCATTTAACTCAGTTTATTTCAGTTTTATTTTTACAGTCTTTACAAATCTTGATGTCCAATGGGCACAATTTGATTATGTCAGTTCTGATGACTCAGAAAAAATAATTGCAGTCTTGTATTATTTCCCACCATAGCCGCCAGAGGAAATTTAAAATGAAATGAATAGAACTGTTTCAGTTTTCATTTTAGATTGAACCTTTGCGGCTAGACATCTGGCCTTGTCTGCTTTTGGGATAGCAAAACCAGAGTATAATTCTGTTATAAAACCAATTAATGACACTAAACAAGACAGACCTGTACACAATACCACAACTGACAACTGTACTCAATACTTGTGCGGCTATTGATTAACAAAGTCATAAACACTTTTGTGAAGTTAGCCGAGCAAACGCAATATAAAAGACAGCGACTTAGCAGTTTATGCGGACGTGCTACTCCTTGCAGTGATGTGATTGCGTGCGACCTAGGGTGCAGCCCCCGCAAAGGAGAAAACGATGGTTTTATAGTTTACAGCAGTGGGTGGGTCTTATCTCAGTCTGAGAGTTAAAAATTGGGCTAGATTATGAAAGAAAATGCAAGGTCTCTATAAGTGAAAACCTGGCGATTGCAACACATAAAAGAAAACACTCCCATATGAAAGTAATTCTGCATACAACATATTAAAAACAATTTGCATATGTTTTTGTAGGCAATGCGTTTGGAGCAGGTGACCTGATGTTTTAAATTAGAAGCCGGCCATCTTTTTAGTCCAGAAAGATGAGGAATTATAAGTAAAGCTCTGCAATATATCCGTAAAATTCAGTTTAAAACACGCAACTGTGAACCAGTTCATTAAAAATGAGGGAGCCGCAACCCTAATAAGTTCCTATAAAGTAATAGCCTACTGCTATCTGCTAATAATTTAAGCATCTGACATAATTTATTGAAAAGTGACAAAAATGAACGACGTCTTTAAAATTGTATTGGCGTTATCTCTGTGATAACGTAATAATCGCGCTAAATAAATGGGTTTCTAGACGCGCGGTTTCCTCCCTGGCTCTAATAGTTTGGGTATCATGACAGTTTTGGCACTTTTTTAACAGCTAAATTATTCTTTGAGTTTCAAGACAGCAATATTATGTCCGACTGAAAATTTTGCTTATCTATCTACCAACTTTCAACCTTAGGCCCTTATCTGGATATCTCAAGGTTAGTTCCTCAAAATATGTATTTATATCTACATTTACTTTTGAATCTGTTTGTTTTGCCTCTGATGTAAAAAAGTTTGGACATGGTAATCAGAATATTTTAAATTTTAGTAAAAAATGGTTTTCTCCGTGAATAACTTTATTGTTTCGTGATAGGACAGTCTGAAGGGATATTAATTAATTAATTCACTTCTTTCCACGGAATTCATTTTCCTAGAAGGTGATTCTTTTTCTGTATGAAAAATGCGAATGCTGGAATTTTTTATAAATTTTAAATCAGCCTCAAAAATATTTCCAGATATGTCGATTGTTGATTTGTTACCGGCAAACGCAGATGATCAATAAACTTTGCTGGAAATTTAATCAGAAACACGGACATTGCCAAAAAGTCCCCGATAAATTTCCGATCCGATATATTTTTTTCAACCTTTTGTCCCAGTAAAAACATTCAATCACGGCTTTATTTGTGGTCGTCTGTGATAAATTTCCTTTCCACGTCCTCTGATTTGTGAGTTTATAAACAACCATTTATCGTGGGTTTGATTTGAAATTCTTGCAAAACTGTTCTAAAATTTACAAACTGCTAGGCAAAAAAATACATATTACAATTTCCCCTGCAGTAAAAATGAAGTCACCGTTTTCCTTTTTTTTTTTTGGTTTTTCTTTCTTGAATAGCCCAAAGCAAGCTTACAATGTATGAAATCAGTCTTACTTTTTCCTAGATTAAGCCACAGTAACATCAGTTTGTATGGTACCGGGGGGTGTTCAAGGAATGTTTTGGTATAGGGGTGGGCTGTCGAGTCCTTCAAACCCGGACCCAGTTTGACACAAAAATTGTTCACTTCGCTGCTCTGTTTAAGACAAAAGACCTTATTTGATCAAGACCCTGATTCTTTTCGTTTTAGAAACGAAGTAGAAATTATTCAAACTAACGACGTGGAATTAGATTTTTCAATGCTGGTAACGCAGAGGTAGTCCATCCATTCCCAACCCTAATACTGACCTTTTAATAGAGAAATCTTGAAATAGTGAAATTTTACACCCTGTTTAAAGACTTAAGGTTGTGAAAACCATCCCCTGTTCACCTGTTCAGCAGCACGTACTCGTTTAGACCAAATATGGGAGAGTCCCCTCCCCCCCGGTGGTATGGTTGGATAGTGATTCCGTTCTTCCTTCGATACCACAACACGCACTCAAGTTCGGTTTCTTGTGATTTTGATCTTTTAGTCTCTTATCTTCGTGTTTGCATAACGTTGCCGCGCAAACATTTTCATGAACTTTTGCACCTTTTGTACAAAACTAGTACGCTTAATAGGTTCCGGCAGTGTCGGTCCAATTTAACATTTTTGTTAATGCATTCATAACAATGCGTTGCTTACAAAACAAAGGTTCCCATTTTGTGCAAAAAAAAGAAGCTTTTAAGCAAATTCGCGCGCCGTAATTGGGCGTCTTTTAAAAATGAAATTTTTGACCGTCTAATTAAGTCTCTGTTGGCGTCGGTGATCACTGACTAACCTGGTCGACCATTGCGTGAACTTTTAGGATGTAGATATGGCCATCAGCAGCGAGAAGCTTGTGACCTAAGGTGCGGAATTTTTCAAGGCTTTATAGTAAAAAATACGAAGTTAATGGAGGCAGGAACTACGCGGCTACAAGAAAAACCTCCGCCAAAATTCGGAAGTCTGTTATCAGAAAATTAAGGACACAGCCGGTTGTTATGTATTGTAATCGCCGCACTTTTTCTCTGTTTCATTATTTGCAACAGCTGAGAAATCGGTTTTCTTGAACACTTAAGAAGAAAAACATCAGCCACGGAACTGTCCGCGCGCCAAAGAACTAGGAAGGACTAATGGAGGTTTGGGCGAATGAGAATGCATCTTTGCGCAATAAATCGTCATCTTTGGAAACTTATATAAACCCATCTGAGCCAGCTACGATGGCCACAGTTCTCTTCTCGTTTGTCATCGTGACTGGATTTCCTGGGAATGTTTTGATCGTGTCGGCCATTATTAGCAGGCAACAGCTTAGAACGCCGTGTTACTGGTTGATTCTGAGTATCGCTGTAGCTGATCTGGGAATGGCTCTCATTGCGGCACCGCAGCGAATCATAGAGAACTATATTGGGTGGCCCTTTGGTGAATTTCTCTGCAATTTTCTCGTGTCCATTCAAGAGCTCTTTGTAAGCGTGTCCGTTGTCACACATACAACAATCGCGCTGGAAAGGTACCGCGTTATTGTGCAACCTTTCAAGAACAGACTACGTTTAAAATCAGCGAAGGTGATTGTCGGTGTAATATGGTTAACTTGCTACATAACCGCCGCTTTACCGCAAGCGCTGATGTTGGAGCTACAGCACCACGCAGACGACGGCAGACTTTACTGCTTGCCAAATTTTCCATCTCTAACTGTGAGACGAGTTTACATAATCTACCTAGTTACAGTCTTTATCGCCTTGCCGTTATTTGTTCAGTCGTGGTGTTATGTTAACATTTTCATAGTGACAAATAGTGAACTACGATTCTCGAAAAGGAACGACCAGAGGAAAAACTTTATTGAACGAATGAGGAAAAAGATCCGTCTAGTTAAAGTTGTTGTTTTTTTAGTTGCAGTTTTTCAACTCTGTTCAATTCCTCGCGGTGTCTTGATGCTGATAAGTGAATTCAAAAGTGATGCCGCTTTAGCGACAAACCAGCTTTTCTGGTATTCTGATGTTATTTCCCTGTTTGCTTATTACATCAAGCACATGATCAATCCCGTCATTCTTTGGTGTACGAGCGATGAGTTTCGTTTCTGCTGTCGGTAAAGACAATGGCGACGTCGCTGGGTACGAACGCTTTTTTTGAAGCGCTGTTAAGTTTCGCTTCTTGTTTCAAAGAAAGGGCACGTTGAAAATTAACAATTTAATAACAGTCTAAGAAAAAACTATGGTAGGAAACCCCGGGAGGGCTACTTAACAAAGTTTTTTTACGGGCAGGCTCTGCCCTGAACAGGTACCCCTTTCGTATATCTTCCACTGAAAAATAGTAACCTTTTAACATACCCACTTAATAAGAAGAATAAATTGGTCACATGAGAGCTTTAAAATAAATTTGTAGATACCGGTATGTAGAAAAAATAAAAGTAATTAAACTTGGGACGAAAATGGGAAATATCATGTCCGAGTAAGATCAGAAACGAAATTTCAAAAACGCAGAGCAGAGTCACAATTCCGAATTGTGTTCAGGTGTGTTTGTGTTTGTGCTAAGCTTGTATCTTCGGCGCTCGTGTTTCAGTCATTCATAAAACGGCATGGTACGCTATACGGTCACGGTTTTTGCTGGATAATTCGCGCTTTACTCTCTAGCTTATTGATTTCAATATTTAACTACAAAACGTAAGACTCGTGATGTTAAAATTATACCAAAGTTTACCAGTACGAAACCGTTCGTAATTATCTCTCGGCACTCGATCGGAAACTCTACCGCACCTCCCAGAAGTTCAGCTTACATTATTATACTGGAATGTACCCTGATTGAACGGGAACGTCAGTTGACGACGGCGCGCGCAAATCAAACAACTGGCTTGACCAATGGCAGAGCGACAAATTGGGCACCGTAAGTCGCGTTTAGTCCTTTCTGCGCGCTTTCCCATCGTCAAATGACGTTCGCGTTCTGTTGCTAAATCAGCCTAAATATTAACAAGTGAACTTACGCAAAAAGATGCCAAAACTTGCGTCGTGACAATCGTGACAATAATTATGTTTGAAAAAATTTCAGCCAAACTTCACCTTCCTTTAAAAAGATCTTTTTGTAAAAGACCAGAACACAGTAACGCAAGTAGCCCTGTCACGTTTGTCACACACAAACTTTTTGCTGTCCTCTTCTCTCTGCCGTGACCGTAAGTTCACTAACGACAACGACCATTCTCCGGGATCGAGAATACAAGACGACGACAGATCTAAAAACCGGCTTGACCAATAGCAGAGTGGGCAAATTGGGCACGGAAAGTCGCGCTCGGTCTTTTCTGCGCAATTTCGCGTTCTCATTTGACGTCACGTTAATCTTTGTTTAATCTGCCTATTTATATACTTTCCAAGTTTGGACTTGCAGTTTGCCCCAAAACAAACAAAGTACCAGCTCTGAAGCATTATAATTAAACACCTTTAATTTTTTAGCAGGATTGCGCAATGTCAATAGTGTAAACGTTTTTGTGAACTGTTAATTAAACAGGGGCGTAGCTACCGGTACCCATGTGCGTACCTGAAAAAGTCGAGGGTACGAAATAATAAAATAATGAGCTACAAACGTGAGCAATGAAAGAAAACAGTAAAACGAAGGATAAGATAGATTAACGTTAATTATCTTAAAAGCATAGTTCGGCTCAACTCATTTAACAACGGACTGTTTGATTTTTCTTTTTACACCCTAATGTCTGCTCCCGGAAAAGAGACGTGATTCATTGCTGGACCGAATCTTCAATGGTATATATATCATCATCATCAAGACCTTATTAACGTGTCTTAGTAGCTAAGTAGCCGAGGGTAATACCCTTCTACTAATTGGGGACACACAATATAATTAAGAAACCTATTAACTAATAAATGATCAAAAGCCTTTTAACTATACGGTACTAAAAGCCTAGTTACACAAGATTTGATATTAGAGAAACGGGGGAATTTAAAAAGCGCAAATAGCTCGCAAGGCTGGATGTTTTAAAGCGTAAACGCATTGTTTTCACTTCGGCCTCTCTTCGCACTAGACGAAGTAGGGCACGATTATTTTACATCCGAACGTAGCGTGATTCGTCGGTTAAAAGTAGTGTGGCAAATCAGAGCGGTAAAAGAATCACAACTGATTTGTGTTAAGGGAAAAATGTAGATTTTATTGGATTTAAATTTATTTCATGGCACGTGGTCTACAAAATGATAAAAATAGGATTTCAACGTTCCGAATAAATTTTTTCCAATTTAAGCGTGGACAAACATGTTAACAAGGAATGTTTACTCTTGTGTATGATTATTGAAACATTGCACCTTAGGAAATTTCTGTACGCATATTATGTGTACCCTCGAAATTGCATTTTCTAAAAATAATTATTCAGCTTCGTCACTGAACAACTGGACCTTTCTCCTGTTCAAATACCAACCGTTTGTAGTTTTTACTTTTAACATTTTGAGGAATCCAGAGCAAAGGAAACTCGAATTCTTTTACACAGCAGTTTCCCAGTATAAATTTCCTAAATTCATTTGCTTGACCGACATTTAATTTTGAGTCATTCAGTTTAGCATATAAACTTTAAAGCTGAATTTATCCAGAATTGTTTTCGGTGCTCAGCTGATTTTATGCAGCCTTCCTTCCATTTGTTTTGTGATGTTTTAACAAGTTGATCAGATAATATAAATCGATCGAGCACTGTTATCGCTGTTTTCCGATTTACATTATTTGATGCACATGTCTGTATGATTTACGTCCATGAGCTGAAGATTAAACTGTTGAAGTCCAAGTTTGAGTGCTGTCCTGTTTTCCAGTTGTAGCAGATCCTAGTACCGTGGAACAGTGACGAGTTCCTTAATTTCCCACTAGCCAAGCGAGTTGCAGAGTTAGTTTCCCCCTTCGTTGTTCACACGCCGAAGTCGCTCGAATTACCTTTTTTAAGGCTTATTTCCCCGATTTGTGCTTGAAAGGGCAAAACCTATCGTCACATTTGCAAATAAAAGTCTGAGATACCACTAGAATGTTCGCGTAGGTGCTACGGTTACACTAGAGGATTCATAAATATTTCGGGGAACAGGGGCATTTGGTGGGTTGTGCGTACCTCTGAAAAAATCCTGGCTACGCCCCTGTTGAACTTCTGTACAAGAAAAAATTTGATTAAACTGGCTCACAGAATTGGCGTCCAAGCCCTTTTGTAAAACGACAAAAAATAACATCGGCGGGGAAAAATCGTCTATTCTTACGAACAGCTAGATTCCATCGAAGTCATAATGTAGCTAAACTAGATGTAAAACTCTCAAACGTCTTGACGGTTTTACTGTTTCAAGAATTTAATAATACACCACTGAGATTCATGTATTAAGTTTTCCAATCGATTAACTGAAGTCTTTCAAGACTTAGCAATATACTACTATCAGAGACTTTGTCCCCCTCAGTCTTTCGCGGCAACTGAGAGACTTACCAATGGGCGAGAAAAGGTGATCTGTCATTGTCTGGCTTTTAATTACCATGATTTTAATTAACCGATCCTGAACCAATGTAATTAGTGTAGAGTTCTGAGGCTCAGATTTCCAATTAGCACTATCGGGACAAATTAGTCCAACACCAGCGTTTCCAAGCAAACTATCACCATTGTAATACCAAAAATTATATCAGTCCGAGCTTAAATCAGATTCAGTATTTGAAAAATATGAGGTACCCTTTTTCAGTTTGGCTAACAATCCAAGACCGATTATTAGATGATATTGTTTTGTCACCTAAGTTAATTATCAATTCGAATCAGGCTTCTGCTTCAGTCATCCCTCTTCTTGGGAATGACAGTGAATTCAAGGCACAAAATCTGACGGGATGAGATTCCGGGTGGTAAAAGTATATGCTTTTTTAATTCATTTCGATATTCCCAAATCGATGCTCTTTTTCATTTCTTTTGTCCAGCGACCGTGTACACCTGTTGTAAATCAGTGGCTATGCTTTATACCATTCTCCTGATCAAAGCCTTAGTTTCCTTTTCCTTGAAAAAGTTTTGTTTTTAAAACGAAAAGCTTTGTAGAACGTGGACCTTCGATTGGTTTCCTTTGGTCAGCAGATAAACTGAGTCACGTAATTTCTACAAAAAGAACAACCTGCAGAGCTTATTTTTAAGCCCTCTTATAACTAAAGCTCAGAGGTACGTTGATCACGGCCACCATCTTGCCAACAAAAAACCCCTCTCACTTTAAAATATTTTTGGACTCGCCACAGCGCTCTGTCGGTTTCAACGTCCAAGATGGCGTGAGAGCAATAGCCCCGAAAAAGGTATCATCGTTCGCGCTGCAAAATACGCCTGCAGCCTACAAAAACAGTGGTCACAAAATTGCGTTTTAAAGAATCTATTTGAATGTGCATGTGCCTCCGAAGATAATAGGGAGCTTATGCAACGATGGCGGCAACGAGAACGGCATAAAAGCAATAGGTTAGATAAGCAAAACAACAACTTTGCACGCGCATCACGCCTTTTTCGTACATTTCTTTGCCGTCACCGCGCAACTACGACGTGAAACTTCCTAATTTCAAGTTTTAAAGGGAAGTAAACACAAGACGACGATTTTCCTTTTTTTTTTCGTTTAGTGAACTTAGATACAGTCCTTTAGAATTCAACTCCTGTAAAAATCGCCAACATTTGACAAATTTATAGAGTTGCAATAAGAGCGATGAAGTTTGAAGAAGCCCAAATCACTTTTTGGGTAACGTTTTCGATGCCATTGCCGTCGTCATTGGTTTTAAGTTCCCCTATGATTCTGTCCAGCTCAAAAGCGAGAATCACGATTGTGACGCAATATGTCTGGATACTACTCCTCTGTAAAATCTGCGTCAAATAACCAGTTGCTCTCCTGGCAACAGTAGGTCGTCATGCACAACATAGAACGCTGGTCCTCAGGACATTGAATATTCTTTCATGTCACTCAAGTTCTGGTCCAACACTCATTTCCTTTCGGCGCAGAGTGAATTAACAAGGGCGGTAAGTGTGCTGGAAGTGTTTTTTTTTTTTTGTTTTAGAAAAGACGCGGTTTTTTCTACAAAGAGCTGGTCATCACAAGAATGCCCATTTTATATATTTTCAGGATGTCAGCGTCATCCCTCGACGTGTTTTTTCCCCTCAGTTTTAGGAATAACGCAGTGCAAGCAAAAGCCAATATTTAACATTAACCTTAGCTTTTTCTTGATTTATTTTCTTTGCGGCAAGAAAGGATTTTTTTTTGGCGTAATGAGAGTTTTGGGTATTTCAGGTGAACTCGAAAAGATTGACAAAAGTGAGCGGCTTTTTATTCCAAACACGTGTGAAAGGAACGCAAGAAAAGAAAAAAAAATTAGCTGATTCAAAGCTGTTTGCTTTCCTCAATTTAAAACACAAACTAAAAGCTAGCGTGTCTTTGTTTTGTATGCAGTTAAAATCGCAAACCTTAACCATCTCATCAAGATCGTATCTTCCCAGCTAAAAAAACAGCAGCGATGAGCCAGAATCGATTTGGCGCTTATATCCTTATATTCACATTAAAGAATCAAAAAGAGATTTTTTGTAGAAATCCCAGCACGAAGTGGCTCTTATATACTGCATCAAATTATAATCTTAGTGGACAAGACAAAGGTTTCACCTGAGATGGGATTTTTACCTACAACATATAGACTAAACAAGCTCTCAAAGCACTTTTAAGATGTACAAAAAACCGACGCACAAAATTGTACCGTTTTTAATTTGATAATGAGACGTATTCAACCTGGAAAATTTTGTTTGCCTTATCTACAAACCTTTCTAGTCGGTTTTGTTTTCGTTCAATCAAATACTGGCTTCCTTACGTTGCTCGTAGTTGCTCGAGCTCAAAGCGGCCCTGTAAGGTTTACCTTACACGGTGGTCATGTCATATTCATCTCGTTGCAGATACTACTCTTTTGGCTTCTAACTATCAATTGAAAGTAAAAGTCAAGGAAAATCGCATAAATTACAACAGGTGTATTTTATGTTGTCAAACATGCTTAAAACCGATTATTATTTTCCAAAACCCTCTAGCTGTACTCGCTTATTTTGCATTATCTCCAAACATGCTTAATCCATGGTCCTTTCAGTGAATATTCGCTGTACTCATGACACCTTAAATTTACAAGTAATAAGAACATTATGCAGGCTTCCTGTTTTTTTCCTTTTCCCTCTTTTTTTGTAATGCAATTGTCAATTACTCACACCATCGATTAGAAATATAAACGCCCTCAAAGCAAATGTTGAAGATATGCAAAAGTCAATTTTAATTGTACGTTTAAAATTCGACCATGCCCACAGTAAATATAAAAACTAAAGTTGTCACAAGCATGTTAAATATGTTTTATTTAGATGTTGGGAGATCCACAACTCCTTCGGTTTTTGGTCCTTCCAAAATAATAATAATAATAATTATAATAATAATAATGACAATAATTTTCAATAACAGTTCGGTTTTGCCAAGCCTTGACACATATCTCTCGGTCATGTCATTACATAATTATTTGAAAGAGGATAATGCATAATATTACTGAATTTTATTAACATTTTATACAAGAAAAAAAAAAAATTCCAGTTTACTGTCCGCGTCAGATTTTCACCTCATATTACTTTGGTTACGGAAATCATCTCAAATCATTTTTACTGAACATTTTGGTGAATTACGGGTCATTAAAAACAACAGAATACATGTCATTTTATATGCAAAAAACCCAAAGGCTCGTTTGACCAAAGGTCTGTGTGATTAAGCTCATTAGTCATATCTTGTCACCCAGTGTTTAAGGAGGCTAATGAATTATATTTTTCAACTTACATTTAAAGTAAACAAAAGACTATCTCAGTTTCCTATCAAAATGAAATTTGTACCTCTATGACATAAATTTTAATATTGTTTAAATTATCATTTTTAATTTAATTTTAATCATAGGCTTTTAGCTTACTGGCAAAGCGTATTGGTTTAAACGGCTCGGCTATGTTATTGTTATTGCTAATCACGACTTTGTATAAGATAATATCTACATGACTTTTGTGCCGTGTCCGGACAATCCCCTTGGCTTACTTGAACGTGAAAGTCCAGTATTTTTTGGCGCCACTAAATTATATACTGCTCCCTTAATTGAGACCGAAAAGACCGGAAAATATCAGTTTAAATGTAAACTACACGGATATAACCTTCTTATTCAGAAACTATCAAACCTCAGGCTGCAAACACACTTATCATAGGCAGAACCAGCCACGTGCAGGTAAGATGGAATATAACATTTAAATAACTCTGAGCAACACCCTTTGAAAGCATTTTTTTCCAATCATGTTCTCCCCGTTATAAAATATAAAACACCTTAGATCAGACTGACAAAAGTCCTTTAATGCTTAATATTTTTTGCGTCCTAAATAAGAAGACGAACCAACCTTGAATTTAAACAAAAATAACGGGGCCCAGATTTGTGTGATTTGAAACAAAGTAAAAGTCATATCCACGCGATATTGTTGATCAGAAATAATGTTCAATACGTTTAAGGTTGTCTTCTGCAAGATAGAGATTTTTATTGAACTTTGTTCAAAATCTCTTGCTTCATAAACTGTTTTAATATAACCGCAAGATATTGTTTCACAGCGGCATTAAGTGCTCGAGATGGGTTTTACGGGGTGATATGCAGATTTCTCGTCACAGAGCCAGGGGTAGTGTTAACCCTCGAGCCAAAAAGAAAACTATTATTATGGACGCCGTGTTTAGACTGACATGGATCCGTGTCAATAATGACCCTATCAATTAGATTTGCCTCATTAAATATTAACTTGCCTTCGCTTTAATACTAATATGAAAAATTGCAAGGTGAAGTTTAAAAGACTTGCGATAAACAATGCCCTTAAGCAACTTAAGAGTTTTTCAAAGTCGTTCCGTCGCATTTCTCAGAAACTTAACGATATCAACTGTGAAGGGTTAGATTCCTGTCAGATATTGCCTTTTTAACGTTGCCGGTTGGTGTTAAATCGTAAAAGCTCTATGTACACTTCCCACATGAAGTTCGTCACGCGTGTAAATCTGATTGTCAAATAAATGTTTGTACTGTTGCCATTTGATCGTATGTGTCGAGCAAAAATGTTCTAAAATAGGCAATGATTTGATAAGTTTAAGTTGATAATTCTCGTTCTGGTAGTAAATGCCCGAGGGAGACTGAAAATTTAATGTTGTATTGAAGACTTTGTCGAAACCGCCTTTGCGGTTAGGTCACCTTCATTTTAAAATCTTTATTCCAACAGCTCGTTTATCAAGAACATAATTGTGTTGTCTTGTATTGACAATAGGACAGGTGTATCAACACAGCTGAAAACGAGCGACGTAGTTTCGACAGGCCGTGTTTGAATCGTGAAATTTTAAAGAATTCTGACAAAGACACTCGACAATCTCCGAAGTAACTCCTGGTGGAAGTCACTACACAGAAACTTAGACATGCAAGAAGACAACATCACTGGCGCTCAAAACACCTCAACAAGTAATCACGCGAGATCAAGCTACGCGATTCTTGTTCCACCGTTGTTTTGTACCATCATAGCTGTTGGGTTTATCGGTAATACGCTACTTGTTTACACTGTCCTTCGCTGGAGAGATATGAAAACACCCTGCAACTACCTCATCTTGAACAATGCGATCGCAGACCTTGGAGTAGCCCTTGTAGCTGCACCGCTGAGAATCGTGGACTTTTACTACGGTTGGATCTTAGGAGAGACCGCCTGCCAGGTACTCGCCCCTACGCAGGACGTCTTCGTCGTTGTGTCGGTTATAACCTACACGATAATAGCTTTTGAGAGGTACAGAGCTGTGATGACGCCGTTCAAGCGACATTTCTCTTTAAAAACTATCGGAATCGTTGCAGTTTTCATCTGGATCATTGCTTACCTCGGTAGTGGGTTACCCATTGCGACGATCCTAAGCGTGAAGGTGATCAAGGGAAAACCCCTTTGTGCTACAAACTTTGCATCTAAAACCGCGATGAGGTTGTACGAGATCTATCTGGTCCTCGTTTTCCTCTTAGTCCCTTTGTTCCTACAAACTTTAGCTTACTCCATTCTGGTGCATCACTTAACAGGAAGAAATTCTAAGGACAAGTCACTTGAAAATTCAACAAGTTCCCGTGGCAGGAGGATCAAGAAGCGCCGATTAGTACGAGTGACAATCATTCTGATTGCCTTCTTTCAGATTTGCTATATTCCAAGGATGGTGATGATGATAATCTACGATTTTGCGCGCGAAATTACAAACAACAACTACTTCGTATATGTAGACCTTTCCGTGATGGCTTTATTCTATGTCAAACACGTTATAAACCCAATAATTCTTTTTACTATAAGCACGGAATTTCGAAGGCACTCTCCTTGGAGAATGACTACCTGTTTCAATGCCATACCACGACGCTTTAGGGTCTTTTCGTCTCGCCGATCGACCATGAGCACTAGACTAAGCTTCCTTGGCAACAATGAAAATGAACGAGAAGCGATAAACAAGGAAACTGAGTTTTAAGTTCTTTGCGTGACTCAATGGATGGAAAAACTGAAAACAGTTCCTTCGAATTTGAACTTTAATAACAGAGTTGAAACTTAAGTTCAATATATTCCTGAGAATCGCTTTAGTAAGGTTTCGTAATTTCATCTTTAGTTTATAAGACTGACTTTCTTCTTTCGTTCCGTTTGTGAATTTTTAACGAATTTATAAGAACTTCTATTAAAGCACAAATAGTTGGCTTTTATGAACTTGAATAGAGTTTTTATCATTTCTAAAGTTTTGGAGTTAACAGTCCATTTCCATTTTTTATACTCCTTTATACATTTTCCTCAAAAGCACAAAAAAATCGCCAGCTTCAGTTTACTCAAGGCCATCCCCGTTTTTTTCGTTCAGCTTTGAATGCGTTTCCTGATATTGGGTCGGTCGTTCGTTTTGAATAAAAAATTTAAACAAAATCACAAGGTTCGAGTCATCGGGGTTTCAAAAAGAGTACTGAAGCTGAATCTTAAGGCAAGTTGGTTTTGTTCGAGTTAGAGGGGAGATTCGCGTAACTTTCTGATTCAATATATTTTTATTACTCATCACGAAAACCCAGAGGCAGGTGATAATGTCATAAAAGCCATTGATGCATCTCATCCCTAATGTTCCATGACTTGTTTACTTGACTATTGCTACCATAGCTAAACAAAGTATTGTAAAATTGTCGTTTGATTAAATAATGACACAGCGATGCAGTATGTAAAGCCGTTTTGGTGTCAACATTTGCATGCACGTATTTAACTAATACATGACATTTTCACTGGCAAGAAATTATATTTGTATTAATTATTGCACTGCATGGAGTTCAAACGTCAAAAAATGCTCCGTTTGACCCATTTAAAGGAGCAATTTTCATTTTGATGCAACTTAGTTCCATTTCAAATCAGCCCGTACAAACAAGCGGCGATTTCATGGTGATTTGTCGCCTAAAAAATCGCGGGTACGATTCGAACCTCTAATTTGATAGGATTGATTTATGGGCCATTTTTCTACGCGGGAGTTACCAAAGAACCCATCTCGAAGGATAATTAACTCAGAAGATGCGTCCTAGCTAATCGCTTTTGGTATCAAGATCAGAAAATCGCGAAAAAGTCGCCATGAAATTCCAGCAAAAATCGCGCAAAAGATTCGCCTAGGTACACCTGGCCTTATTGAAATCCAAGGAACAAGATTCGTTTTTCGCGGGTGAAATTGACTCCCTCTATTTAATGCTTCCCGAGGCAGTCTCAAGTTTAAACGGAAAGTGCTTTATTGGAGGGTGGGAATGGTTCCCTAATTGATGCATTCTCGATATCGTTGCAGGTGGATAATTGGTGTCAATGTAAAGAGCATTCAGGGCATTATTCATTTATGGCTACAGCAAAAAAGCCAACATTAATTAACTTTCTCGCGCGTGACATATGGTTGCTATGTAAGGTGGTGACAAGGATTTTTCCCAAAACCTACAGTGCTGACATTAAACGAATATGAAGCCCATTAGAAAAGCTAATGGCGTAGATCTTTCTTTAGGAGAAACCCAAAAATTAAACTCGGATTTAGATTTGTTCTCACCCTGGGTACCCCTGGTACCCCAGGACGATGTTTAAAGTTAACCTTCAAAATGCACAACATACTGTAAAAAATGCTCCTGTTTTTGTTCCTGTTTTTCTCTATGCTGTCACTATGCTCATTTTTCAGATTAAGAGAATTATTTCAAGTGAAAAATGGTTTAACTAGGTCGTGACTTTGTTTTTGTTTTTTTTTTGAAATGCTAAAAATTTGGGTCGGTTGGACGACGCCGCTAAACTGAGAAAAGAGGACGGCCCAACATAAAAAAGCATCACGAAAAAGTCTGTTTTCGCAGTGGTCACGGAGCAATACTCACGAGTATTAGTTAACATAGGTTTTTAAGGGGGAGCTTATAATTATTTAAACAACCTTGGGCGAGGGAAGAAAGCAGCGAAAAAAGTCACTGAAAAAAAAATCATTTGAGTTCTTTAAAACTTTATCGCGTTTATTAAGCCAGGCTCAATCTTCTTGAGGACTGTATCCAGGTTAAAAAAAAAAAAGAGTAAAGAAAATTTCGTCCTCCGCAACAGGATGCATTAGGAATTTTAAAGTCGTAGTCGTCCAGTAGATGTTAAAGAAATCGGCATCAAACAGTGATAGGCGCAAGAAGAATTATTTGTTGAAGTTGTCGTTGCTGTCGTGTTGGTGGTTGCTTCGAAGCTCCCTAACACGACTCCATTTTCTCGCAATTCCTAAAAGATATTCCAGCACAAAGAAAACCAAACCGAACATAGAAAAATGACCAGAAAGCCTGGGAATCATGCTAGAATTTTAATATATCGGCGAACGTGGGCTATTGCATGAAAATAAAAAATGATTTTCATATCAATAGCTTGGCATCTAGCCTCGCTTTAAAACACAGCGTTGGGGCATCTCGGAACTAGGCATTACAATCGTCCAAAGAAAAATTAAAGATAATGCTTGAACAAAATTTGGGGGGGCGGACAAGAACAGAGTAGACAAAGTTGATTTGTTGTTCTACCCTTTATTACATCCAGATGGTTTAAAAAGACAAGAACAGCGCCTTCCCGTCCAAAATAGAATCAATTACAGACTGGTTATAAGCTTTAAAAAATTACATCGTATAAGACAGTCTTGCGCGTGTTGTACCTATGGTCTTTCTCTTTATTGGCAGTTTATTGACAAACAGACCAAATAATTCCATGACAATAAAATAAATGGTATCTGAAATTCAGTAATAGGTTTTTTAAAACTTATATCAGACAGTTAGCAATCCAAACAACCAATACGAAGAGGCCAAGCGAGCAACCAACCGACCGTAGATAATACAGTCTGATTGTTTTTGCTCACAAAACTTGTCATCATTCTGTACAGATGGCTATAGCAGTGAAACTTTGGGTTGTCCAAAGAATGAGCACATCATGAGACTAAAATATCATTCACCGAAGGTAATAGGGAGCTGAAGCAACGACGACAGCATCAAGAACGGATTAAAAGCAATAGGTTTAAATTAGCAAAACAAAACTTTGCACGTTCCCCACGCTCTTCTGTACATTCATTTGCCGTTGTTGCACGACCACGACGTGAAACTGCCTAAGTTCACGTTTTCTGGAAGACGTGAACACAAGACAACGCTTTTCTAATTCTCTTTTAAACTTACATACAATGCTCTAGAATTCAGCTCCCGAAAAATTCGCCAGCGTTGGACAAATTGAAAGCCACGTAGAAAGAGCGATGATTTTTGAAACAGCGCGAATTCACTTTTTAATAGACGTTTTCGCCATTTGTCAATTTCGTCGTCGTCATTATAGCTTAAACTCCCTAATGTGAATCCATGCCGGCATACAGAACAGATCAATTAGTCCCCCGTCCCCACCCTGTCACTCGCTCTTTCGCCCCTGCTCTTCCTGCTTGGTTTCGTTAAAAGTTGCTTCCTCCACTGACTCAAACGAGGCAGTTGAGAAATAATCAATAATATTATTAATATTCGGCAAAATAATAATTATAGTACAGTATTACAATTGATAGTTTATGGAGTACGAATTGGCACAACACAACTATGTTCAAAAGCCCTGATTCAAATTGAGAGATCTAGGCGATGCAAGTACAATCAAGCACAGTTCATAAATTATGCAATGTTATGCCGTGCAACACGTATTTGTTTTACGAATCATGTACAAAATCACAACACATTACAAAGGTTGAAAGTGATATTCGTAAAATTGACAACCGCTGTTGCTATAGAAGAGAAAGTGAACTTACAGTGCAAACACGCAACACTTGTTATCAATTACAGAAGATCGTTTTAGTTTTTTTTTTCTTTCTCTTTCGGTATTATTCTTTTATTCGTTTTATGACAATTTATTACACTCAGGCGACATTTTCAGATATCCACAGGCTCTCACGTCAAGATCGCAAGACGAACCGCCACGAAAGCCGACGCGAAACCCCAACATGAAAGCCTGCTTGAAAGCTAAGAATGCTCCAAACTCAATTTTGTCGTAAACGGTGTAACGGTGCTTAATCACTGTCATTACAGTATTACAATCCTTTAGTCTTGAAACATTCCTAGCTAATGTTATAAGAAGGATACAAGTCATAAATATTCCACCTATTTTTCTTGTAGAAAAATGAATTCACTTTGAAAACCTTATGATGAGGTCGACATGATATTTGATGACTAACACGTTACTTTTTCCTTCGGTTTAACAATGCATTACTGGATTTACCGACATCTTTAAGTCTGGCCACTTTATCGGGTTCAAATCTCATGGATGCCAGTGCGTTGGTCATTTCGTCCTGAAAAAAAAAAAGATAGCGTGAACAACATCGCTCTAAGAGCAGCGCCTTGCATTCACTTGCTCGATTGTGGCCCTTCGAGATAGCCTCTGTTTGAATCGAGTACGATCTTTATTGCGCATGCGCGGCATGTTGCTAGGATACAGTCTCGAACCCAGGCCTAATAGCCGTGCGCTTGGTACAGTGGGCTCAGCTATGACCACTGGTTTATTAAACCGATGCTCGCACTCATAACACTGGAAAACAAGATTGACTAGTCCAATGTTCGGCCTTCGGCGACGTCGAAAGCTTGACAGTATTCAGACAGAAATTCCTTTTCTCCTCCTCACTCGAGAAAACAAAAGGAGGTTCCTCTTGCAGGGTGCAACAACATAGACCGTGTTATTCACAGTAAGTAAATGGTAGGGTTTTATTCAACCAATCCAAATCTGCATTATTACATATGGAAAGAACAATAAATTATTGCCTTTTGTTTTGAAACAAACCCATCTTTAATCGGAATCTCAGCAAATTCACCTACCCCTTCATAGCTTTCTCTTCAGCAAATGCTAGATTTAAAAGTAGTTCACCGACAGTAAGATAAATAGGGAGCTTTAGCACCAACGAAGGCGACGGCTAGGAACACGTCACTAAAAAAGTGAATTCGCGCTGCTTTAAACTTCATTGCGCTCAGTGTTCCATGACCTCCAATTTGTCGACTATTGGCGAATTTTTCAGGGGTTTAATTCTACAGGACTGTATCGAAGTTAAGGAAAAAACATGAAATTAGGCACTTTCACCTTGTAGTCGTGCATCGTCGTCAAAGGGAATGTACAAAAAAGCGTGATGCACGTGCAAAGTTGTTTTGCTAATCTAAACCTATTGCTTTTTAGTGCTGTTCTCATTGCCGTCGCCGTCGTCTTGGTTTAAGCGCCCTAATGACTATTTCAGGGTAAAGCGAAGAGGGCTGCCATTAATGTCACGACTATTCACAGTGGACAGTCTTTATTATATGTATTAGGATTGAACAATGAAAATAACTTGGAACGCTGTTTTTGTGAAAAATGACAAAATAACTGAAAATTCAAAATTGGAAACTCGCAAAATGCGAGTTTTTGATAATCTGCGAGTAAGAAAAATATCCACTAGCAAACAATTGCGAGTTAGAATTATCCATGTCTCCCAAACAAAGGGACATAAATTGCTTGTGGTCTCACCAGTTTGCTAGTCGAAAAAAATCTTACTAGCAAAACTTTGCAAGTGCACTAAAAAGATAACTTCGAGTCCTGCTGATTGCTTCGTAGAAGAGCGCTAAATTACCTTGACATCCTGCCAGTTTTCTTCCTCCTCTCTCAATACAGCGGCCGTGTGAAGAGGAGTCGATGGAACCTCAGAGTAGGCCTACAGGGTCAACAAAAAAAGATGTTAACCCTTTAAGTCCGAATAGTGACCGAGATCAAATTTCTCCAAACAATATCCATACACTGTCAAGAGATAAGTTATGAGAATTAATAAAATGATCACATCAAAGAAAATTTCTTTTAGTGATCTATTTCATCGAATTCTCTCAACTCATTCTTTACAAATGTATAGAATATTTTGGGAGAAAATTGATGTTGATATCACCATTTAAAGGGACTTAAAATATCTTAGTACCTCGTTAAACGGATGCTAGGGCCAGCACCTACGACCAACACTCCAGCAATGGTCTATTTAAGTCCCTCTACGATCGTGAATATAAGAAGCAAGGCAATTTGTTGTTACTGCTTTTGCCTACCATCTTGTCCTCAGTCCGACAGTTTGCAGACCAAATCTTATTAATGATGCGACCATTCAGTCAAAAAATAGCCTATCAAGAACTGTTATTCACGGTGATTTTACCTTTCAGAAAATGTTCTAACAAAACGCACCGTTTATCTTCAGATTTTTACAATAACTGTTTCTTGCAACGGTATCCCAAGGGCGACGTGAGCCATGCGCACAGAAAGGCGAGTGATCCCGGTCTGTTTCGTCAAGTCTTCTACACGCGTGAGTAAACTGTCCCTACAAAGGCAGAAGTGTTTTCTGGGCGGGGACAAAGACTGACCTCACAGTATACTTTATATTGCTGGGGAATAGTCAATACAGCTTTAAAATACTGGTGTACAGTACTATAGAGTCTAGGGTATTTACCTTTATCCAAGGATTGTTTATCACTTGCTCCACAGTAAACCTATTTTGAGGGTCTGTTCTCAAAAGTCCTCGGATCAAATCTTTTGCTGAAGATTAAAGTAGTAAGTCTTGTATAATATATATCTTGGCAAGATACAGCAATAAAAGGGGGCACGAACACGGAGAAAGCAACTACATTAAAATTCAAAGGCAGATGATCTGAAAGGCCATGGACTAGATAGGTCAATGGATAGTCGATGGTCTATCAGTTCATTTGTTTAAACAGTTGGGAGAGTCCTGATAACTTCTCTTTTTAATTTTTTGTTTGAGTTGGTATAACAAAACAATATTAATAACTACCCCCAAGGGAAACAACACGTTTTGTTTCCCCTTTTTCTCGTGGCGCCTGCCATTATGTGCTTATTGGCTCGAGTCCAGGAAACAAACAACGTCTCAAGGCTTGTCAAACGACAGAAGATTAGGTCACCATTACCAGTGACACAGAAACCTTGTGCTTTGCAGAGGAGAAATGGGGACTACAATCGGCGACAAAATTGTTGAGACATTGTACTTAAATAGGGTGACTTCGGAGAACAAAAGAATCCGCACCCCTCCCCTGTCCCCTCTATTCAAAGTTGGGGTGTTTGTTGTTTTCTATAGGTAGCTAGAACAAGGGCCCAACATTGTATTTTTTTTCTACCAAACTCTTGAGAAAGACAAGACGTCCACTGATTTCATGGAAAACAGTTACAACGGGTGTAAGTGTCTACTGTTAAAAATGTCTGTGTATTTTACCTTGATTAGAGACTCGGCTCCACTCAGGGTTTGGAAAGTCATACTGTCCCTGTCTTATCCTCTTACGCATTCCAGGGGAAATGGCTGCTCCGTGATTACTGTAGAATGGTGGAAATCCACATAACCTAGATATTGTTGGAAAAATGACATAACACTTGATCAATTCAACCTGCTACATTGTACCATTCCCCCAGGACAAGTACAGCCCTTTATGGCTGGGATTGGGGAGTCGATTAAAGGTTTCTTTCCCAGAGGTATGAGGTTGGGAATGGAGAAAATCTGACACAATTTCCAGTGTTCTTGCATTAATTCACTTCTCAGTTTTCACAATGGCATTGCCTGGATAAGTCTATGTACATGAATATGCGGGGGGAAATCTCTCTAATTTGTGACTAACAAATTGGAGAAGAAAGAAACTTACAAAGAAGGGAAGTCAATTTATTTGAAAGTATTTTTATTCAGAAAATTGTTTTAAATATCATTATCCATATTTAAAGAAAAATATTTACTTATTTGAAGAAAAGGGGAGTAATGAAAGATCCAGCCATTGTCTCTTTCTGTGTGTTCATGGGTGGAGACTGGTAGACCACAGAGTGAGAAAAAAAATTCAATTTACCAGAAATATTGCTTGGGTTGGGGCATTTAAAAAGGTAGAAACTAAATACTGAAACCATACATGATGTTTGTGTAAGTGAATGAAATCTAACTTTGCACTCTATATCATTGGTAGACTGTAAAAACAGAAGTATATCAGCTAAGTTTGTCTGATTCAAGGGAACCATACTTACAGAATATACATGATGACTCCTAATGACCACAGATCACACATTTTGTCATAACTCTCAGGACCTAGCACTTCAGGAGCTAACAAAAAACCAGTCAGTCAGATTAATATGCCAGCCCCAGAACAACCACAGTACAGAAAAATCTGAGAACAACTACCCTTGTTATCTTGATGACTTCATTGAAAATGTTTATGGTACACTTGCATTAATATAATGACAACTCAGAATAAACTAGAAACTTAACAGGAACATTTTTTTAAGTATAAGTAGAAATATTTCCCACCGTGTTCACCTGAATTTAAGAATGTGAATACAGCATTTTTTGAAAGGCAAGTGTAAATTTGCCAGTAAAATGACATCACAAAGGGACAAAATGCAGTCTTGTCTTTAACATCAATAAATTAGTAAAAAGTGACAATTCAAAGTAAACAAGAAAACTACCGTATAACTGATAATTTCCAGACAGGAAATACCAGTCAACTTACCAACATAGTAAGGAGTGTAGCAGGGTGTTTTAAGATCCAAACCAGCAGTGGTCTCCTTCGCAAACCCAAAATCTGTCAGCTTTAATAATGCATTGGGGGAATTATCAACAAACAACAGATTCTCAGGCTGTGAAATTAACAAAGTAAACCTACTGTTAGTGCAACTCAATCTTGTTAGCTGGGACATTTTAAATTACAGAACGCTCATGGCTAACAAAACACTTTGATATCCTGCTTTTCCAGGCAGTGCCCTTGCTCCCACACCCAGTTAAGGTGATATGTAAATAGAAAATAATGTATGTAGATGGGAGCAACCTCACTGATCTGTAGTGTATTTGCAGCAACCTTGGAAAATTTAAAAATCAACTTATGTAAACTAAAGTATTGACAAATGAGAGACAAGCATGGATAACACAAGAAAATGGCAATTAACACTTTCAGGAATGGCCATCGTAGAAGCCAACTATACATATGCAGGCAGGTTCATAACCTACCTAGCCTGTACACAGACGTGTTTTTTTTTTTCATTCTTTCCAAAAACATCGGCGAGCGTTAGCGAAGCGAGTGCGCGAGAGTGAGTACGAAGCGTGAGAACAAGCGTGGAACGCAACAAAGAAAAATAAAGAACAACCCACCTACTGCCCATGATACATACCTTTAAGTCCCTATGGGCAATATTTAGTGAATGCAAATGAGCTGTTGCCAAAGCAATCTGACGCACGACAGCAGCTGCCTCTGTTCATGAGAAATACGAGAATTTACCTCACATGTAACTTAACATTCAGAAAACTTGCGTATTAGCAAGACCTTGAGGAGTTTTAAGTTAGATGGGCATGAAATATCTCCACACTGTTTCTATACTTCTCTTATAATGTTGAGGAGAGGAAGTTTTTTTCAAAATTACGACCCCACTCAGTTGTGGATCATTTTCCTTTTATCTCAAGCATTTTAACTTTGATTGGGCAGTGATAATGTATGGGGAAATTGACAGTTACTCGCCCTTAAGCTTAGTCCACAGTAGGTGACAAACCTTCCCTTACCCCAAACCACAGGTTTTCTGTCTTTGTTGGGAATTAGAAATAAATTTAAAGTAATTATGGCACTGTTTGTTTTATTGTAACAGTATTTTGAATGGTCGAGCAAAAGCACCTACCTCTTTCAGTAAAAGGAGAATCACCTCTCTTCTGAATTCTCTCAAACAGTTCTCCGCCAGTCATGCTACAAAAAAGAGTATTAAAATTTAAATATTTAAGATTTTTACTGTACCAATTACATTTATCACAATAGGGCCATTTATATAAGGAAATATAAGACGCGTCTTACATATCATAAGACGCATTTTAAATAAGACGCGAACGGTAACATTTATACGAGCATGTCTTATCTAATAAGACGCGTCTTAAGCCGCGTCTTATTTTAGACGAAATGTGCCGTTTATACGGAAAGTTCGCGTCTTATTTAAGGCGCGTCTTATTTTTCCTCGTTTAAATGGCCCTATTGGGTCATTTCTGAGTTACAAAATCTCTTACTTTCAAAACAACCCTAAGTGCAAACCCTTCTTGTGTGCATGAGTTTTATTTCCATGAGGATAAAAAATAATTATTATTTTCATATCAATAGCTTTGCACTTAGCCTCAATTCGAAACAGAGCCTCACGGCAACTGGGAAATGGCCTTTTTAATATATATCTGGATTCAGTTTCCATACATGTACAAGTTAGATTTTCTACAAGTCAGACCTTCAAACACCTTTCTCACATTCACTAGTAAATGCAAACACCACAAGCATGTAGAGCACTTAAAACACTGACAGCTTTTGAACCAAACATGTAAACATAATTCACTAATGCTCAGTGTTCTCCCTAAATTTTAGCTCAGCTGGTAAGGGACCATTCTTGACCAGTAAAGCCAAAAGTATGCACCAGAGGGGCTCTCTCCTGGCAAGTGGGGGAGGGGGGGGGACATCACGTTCTTGATGGCTTTTATTTTCTAGCATCCTGTCAACCAATTGACCGAAAAGTATTTTAAACACCTCAAAACAAAGAAGTTTGTGAATGAAGGCTGCCTTTGCCACTCGGGTCAATTTAATAACATAAGCCACGGAAGTCGCAAAATTGTCCTGCTGGTTGAGGAAGTCTAGTATTGAGAGAGAAACCCACAAATACATTGTTAGCCTGCAGTGCTTTGAAAGAATCCAGTCAGCAATCACAGAGAATAGCTGTGTATACTTTTTATTATTCCGTATTTACTTCCTTTTCTTGTGAGGATCAGCTTGGGTATGTCACAAGTTGCATATTTTTTTAAACAACTTATTATTTTTAGTAACACTTCCTGCAGTTGCAGGCAGTAAGAAGTGTTGCTTCAAGAGGTAATTTTTACCGGTTACCGCCTGACAAGGAGAACACCGAATGCTGAGTTAGACAAAAACAAATATAATGCGATGAAACTTCAACAAACCATTCCATGACAACAAGAAGACAAGTACTCCCTCCATATTTGTTCTGATAAACATCTTTAATTCCAACAATATATGGGCAGCCAGAAGCCTTCCAGTGAAGTTCGACCTCCCTCCATGCTTTGGCATTATCTTGTAAAACCTTTAAGTTAAAAACAAAACAATTGAGATTTTCTGAAATTATAGGACCGTAGTTAGTGAGTATCCTTTTTAGGCCAGACGGTAACTGAACAATAAGTTCATTAAGTATATGTCCTACCCAAATAATGATGATGATGATGATGATAATTTAGTCACGATTATCCCAAAACGGTGACTTTTTACACTTATTTTTGTTTGTTTTGGCTTCAATAATAAATCAACATTAATAAATAAAAGAAGCTTTACCCATGCTTAAACTGAAAAATAGATCAATATTGAGATTAACAGCTGGTATAAAACCTTATGAGAAATGGGCAATCAATGTATCAGGAACATCATGATTGAAACCTGTCATATGTGCCACATGTTATTTGGAGATGATATTAATGGTCTAGTCAGTAGTGTAAGGTATCGCCTCTATGGTTAATTACTAGCGAAGAACATCCTTGAGATTATTACACATGGTATTAACATGAATGAAAAATTTTTTTCTCATTTTATCATAGAAAAAATTATCTTCTGCACAATAATATTGTGCAACAACATTTTTGACACAAATGTTCTCTCCAGCCGGTACCCAACCAAGCTGAAAATTACAGAAATTCCAAGGGTGACTTGATGCACTTTTTATTAAAGGTTCCATACTTTAAAATGGTTAGAACTTAAAAGAGGTTAATATCTAACCCAGACATAACATTTTACTGGCTACTGGCTGGCCCATGACAAAACCTGATTTCTCAGTCTTTCCTTCAATCAACTAGGTTGTTTTGTATGGCAAGCTAGGTGTGTGTGACCTTGGAAAAATAACCTTGAAATAGCAGCTGATACAAAAGCATTCGATTTACATAAATTTATACACAGCTATGGGGAAGTCAAATTTTTGGTGGGGGGGGGATTAAAATGAATAATTCAGTTTCAAAAATAATTTAACTGGTCATTCCCAGCATGGATTTTAATACAAGAAGCGGTGGAATGAAAACTATGTTTAATATCCTATATCCCTATGTTTTAGGAAGTGTTACAAAATCAAATCACAAATAATTTATTCACCTATCAGCACGTACATGGATTGCCTTTTGCAATACTTACCACTTAATTTCTACGAAATCAAGAACATGAACTATTGAAACACACAAAAGTAGGAGGGAATTCCTCCATAAACCTTAAAACACCTCTTAATGATTCAAACAGTGAGTCAAGAGGTTAAAAACTCAAACCAGAGTAGTTACACAATTAGGGAGTGCGTTCTTAAAAATTATGCCATAGTTACCAAAATTACACACTACGCATATTAAATACATAAAACTTTTAAGCACTTAAAAGAGCGATATGTATTAAGAATATAATAAAATGATCGTGTGCTTCTTAAGGTAGAAATTGAGTAAATCCTATCTTAAATGGTAGGCCTCCCACAATGAAAGAATCACAAGTGATTAATTACCATCAACGACGGAAAAGAGTTTGCCGAGGCCAGGGACATCAAAAGCCTAAAAACAACCGTACCGATGTTCTTTCTTGCAACAGTCAATAGCTGTGTACCTTTGCTTACCTTCAAGGCGAATCGATGCCTTGTTTTCTTCTCGAAACATTCTAAAACCTTGCCATTGATTCCTACCCCTAAAACCTTCTGTGACAGATCGTAGTCGTTCGTTATGAGCGAGACTTTTGTCTTTAACGGAGGAGGAACTTTAAACAATGGCTTGTTGGCCGAAGACATAGCTAAACGCTCGTATAACAAGCAGACAGTTTATATTCCTCAGCTCTACAGATGAAGAACAGAATATTTGCTGATCGCCAAGAAAAAGCCGATCGATTTTTCTGCTTCTGCGCCCGTCTTCCTTCGATCCCCGGAGGAAACTGGACCCAAATATCGAGTTGTTGCTATTTTTGGAACACGACCGGAAGTTGCAAAACATGACGCAATGAGGAAAGCGGATTATTTTATTGTCAGTCTTTTTCACCCGACTGTTTCTCAATAATGCCTCTTATACCAAAGGTATATGTAGTGTATTCTGAGCAGATAAATACACATATGCCACATAAAGGAAAAAAAAGGTCCCAAAATTGAAGTCAACGGAACCCTAAGATATCTGAAGTATATAGCATGGCTCGTATGGGACAGTTACAATTCAAACGATTCATTTTTCGTCCGTGTGATGAATCATGGATTGGGCTTATATAAGTACCGTTATTGAAGATATTTTTCTCTTGGATAATTTTCCCTTCTAATGAAAAGTGCTGACATGACGATTTTTGTTGCAATTAGTGACATAATAGCCTATCTTTAATTCGTTATTCATAATATGTCCCGGACGGGGTATGACTAGTTTGCACTGAAAAGATGACACAAATCTCTATCTGAACATTTTCGAAGTATGACGCTGGGGTCGTGGTGAAAAGCCAGTCGACCTTAAAAAGTTGTCAGAACTGTAAGGTGATAAATTCGAGATAAATTGTTTGACTTCGGTCACTAAATATCTGAGTCACGTGAGCAGTGGTGTGTAGCCCACCGGGTGAGTAGCTAGTGCTATGAATCTTCCAGGCACTGACCAAACTGACGCAGTGAAAATACAGCGTTACGTTTCTACTAGTGTTTACACCACGTTGCCGCGGGTTAACTATGCCGCACAGCCTTGACTACCCTGGTTCCAGAGGTCCGTTGTCGAAATATCTAACTAGGATGAAAGTAACCGCTGTCGCGCCTTGCTTCGCCGTGATCTATCAGGAATAAAAACAACAACACACCTTTATTTGCATGACTATAAGTAATTACAGTATTGCAAAAGGATAGGGACTAAAAAAAGAAAAACAAGACATGAAGTGACTAATAAGCTATCACGTAAATTAATTTATTTATTTAATTAAATTAATTAATAAGGAAAGAAAAAAACGGCTGGCACCCAGGGTGGAGTTTTGACGCACTAAGAAACTCTAAGAAGAAGAATTCTCCGCACATTCGCAGAAAGCCACAGACGTTTCCTCACTTTTCTTATTCTTCGGCAAAACGCTTGATTACTAGCAGCTGTTCGTGAAATGAGCCCACGGTCCTCCCCGAAACACTTTTATCGGGCGGACCCGAGAGAGAGAGTGGCGGTAATGTAGTCTACCTTGGCATTTGCTCAAGAGTTTTCCCACGGGGATGTAGTGTGCCATGAAACAAGAAAAATAAAAATTAAGAAATAAGGGGTAGAAACAATTGCTCACGTAGAAGACACGGCTATTGTATATGAAAAATGAAATTCACAGGTTTCTGCTTTGTGCGCATGGCCAAAACCAACCGTTGTCGTCCCTTACCCGGAAACAAATTAAACGTACGACGGGCAACCCGAGTCCCCGTCCCCTAGATAGTTTTCTTAGTATCATAAAAAAAGAGAAAAAAATTTAAGAGGAATTAGAAATCCGCAAAAAATAAAAATAAATTGGCAGCGCGTACCCTTTTAATATGTATTCAAAAACCCTCTCTTCAAAATGAGGCCAAGTGCACAATATTTGTTGCGAAAATGATTTTTATTTGCACGAGAATGAAAAATCATTTCCATATCATATCAAAGACTAGGCACTTACCCTCGTTTTGATACAGAGGCCCTAGGGAACTCGGAAATGGCTTATTTGTTTGCGTAAAATGAACTAGTAGTTACGGTGTCATTACAGGAAACGTCGGATATCATAATCTGTGGAGTTCATCAATGTTCACTGATTAGTTGTTATTCAGTGCCACGGTTTCCTTCGTCCATTAACTAGATAAAACGCATTCCTATTTTCGCCAAACTGGAGCTGCCGAACTAAATAAAATTAAGGCTGTTATGATACAGGGTTAAAAAGTCAGGCGTGAAGTATAATGTGGCTTAATTTCCACAAAGACACGTACTGAGTTAAACAGATAAGCTAAAATGTGGTATGACGAGGAAGTTAAATGGGAAACACGTCATCTTCTATGAATTACAAAGTAAGAAAAACAGAACTTAAGTACTACAAGTTCAAGTTCAAGTTCATTTATTCACACTTATTCAATTACAATACAACAACAATAAGAGAAAACAGGAGTAAAAAGAGAGCTAACTATACATTGAATTAAACATAACAAAGGAAAAAGTGTGTAGCAGCCAAAGGAGCCAAGCTTTCGAGTTGGCTACTACCATAGAGTGCTTACAAGTGGGTGGAGGTTATAAAGTACTTATAAAAAAACTATTTAAATTAAATAATCAAATAAATAGAGCTAAATAACAGATTAGAGTTGTTGTTCAACAAAAAATAATAAACTTTATGCATGGCCAGAAATGTGTTGCAAGAGTCATGTTCCAGTATCGATCCAGTGCGGTTGGGGAAATTAGCCACGTACAGGGTCGATCATAAAATCGCTGATCTTATGTGAACCTCTTTCTTGCTTGCTGGTACATTCTATCATTAAAAGGCGTCCCTAAAATTTCACCTCACGCGGTTGTCTTCAATCTTTTGTAAATCGCTGATCGCAAATTGTTCACTCGTCGTGGCTCGCATTAACATATTCCGATAAAAAGTTAAAGCCACACTAAAAGAGTACTCGATATGAAGAGGAGCTGGAGGGGAAGTTTGTCGCGTCCCGCATTAGACTAGGGACTTTAAGATCCAACGACGCGACGGCGACAAGAACGTCGCTTAAAAAGTGAATTTGCGTTTTTTCAGTCTTTATACCGATTATTCCTGCCCACTTACTTTGTCAATTGTAGGCGAACCCTCCAAGCTGAATTTCAAGGGACCAAATTCAAGCTCAGAAAGAGAAATAAAATTTCGTCTTTGCTTGTTTGCGTCCTCCATAAAACGCGAAATTAGGCATTTTCACGTCGTAGTCGTGCAAAAACGGGAAAGAAATGTACAAAAAAGCGTGATGCACGTGCGAAGTTGTTGTTGTGCTAATTAAACCAATTGGTTTTTTTTTGACGTTTTCGTTGTTGTCCGCGTCGTTGGATCTTAAAGTCCCTATTGTTAGAAGAAGAAACACTGAAGTCTTTACCGTTTAAGGAATCTAAAAAGGGCTGCTCGAAGGAGATGACATGGCTCTATATCTACTAGATCTGCCACAATCGGCTCCTGATCAGATTTTTCTTGAATGCGAAAACTTTGTTTTCCTTAAAACTCTAGCTGTATCCCCGTTTTAAAGGTTTTCCTTGCAGAGTTAGAGGTCAAGTAAGGCTCGAGCCCGTTAGTCACTTTGGGTCCGCGGGTCCGAGCCCCCTTAGGGAGCTGGGGCGAGGAAACGGCGTGACCGCCCCAAGACCGACTAATTAGACCGACTAAACCTCCCAGCTCCTTTCCTAGGAGACTCCGCCCGGAACCAACCAATGGAAAGCCTCGTCACTTATCAAATAACCTTACATTGCAATCACTGTAATTATCAAGAAATTACTATTGCTATTACTTTACTGAAGTGTTCTTTCTTTAATTTCCGTAAAACGAGAAATTCGTGGGCGATGAAAAATATTGTCTTAAAGAATTATCCTTTACACTTTCTTTCACTTTGCGTTTTGTTTAATTTCTAGCATTGTATTACACCCACAATGTTTAAATTAATTATTAGACGGGCCACAATGAGGAAAGTTCATTTGCTTTTAGAAATTTGTAAAGAATAACATAACTTACAAACCTTCATCAGGAAACACGCTGAGATCGAAGGAGTGATTATGTTTATTCACGGCCAGGTTTCGAGTCGCACGCGTTCGATAAATGAATAATGTTTGTTTGAAACATGAGAAATGCCTCTCGGTTTTCTTAGGTTACAGAAGTTGAAAAGAATGGTCTCAACTGCAGATCAAGTCTATCCGACATTTTACATTAAGCCGGATCAGATCAAAGCCGATAGGCCGCCTCACTTGTGTCTTGTTACCTGTGTCAGATAATTTGCATGTCCACCTGGTCTGCGCCGAGTCAACAGTACACATTCAATGCAATTTAAGAATTACACTGGTGGGTGAGAAGACAGGAAATTAAAGGCAGATTTTATTATCACAAACTGTTTCGGAAGAAAGGAGACACCAAATATTCTTTTAATTCTCATTCCAAATTAAAGGCGGGAAGAGAATTTTTAGTGCAAGTGCAAGAAATTACCGGGCGACAAGCTCACCTGAGAAGACGTGGAAGTGATTAACATCAACAGAAAAGGTAAAGTAAGCTGAGGCTCGGTATTGAAAGAAAAAAAGTCAGGGGGTTTTCTTTACTTCAGATGTTAAATTTCGGATTCATTTTCTGTTATAGCTTCTACGGCGATTTTCAATCAGGGTCCCTTATCTGAGCTAAAATGACTTCCATGCCAATACCTGAATTTCAGGCAGATCTACTACGCGAGCACCTATTTAAACGCCATCTTATATCCACGAATCAAAGACACCGATCATATCAACCTCCATGTATAAGTTGAAAACCTTAAAACTTACTAACACATACACGTCAAGATAAAACTGCTTACATTCTAATTCCTCAAGAATTTCAGTTCCAAAATCAAATTTCAAATCTAAAGTTTTTACTGTTGGCTCGACGGTTGGCCTCTATTAATGATATGCCAAGGATATAACATACTGTTCCAAATGAGGCTTTTATATCTTTCAACTCACCCATGCATTTAAACATTTTTATTTCTAACTCAAACTAGCAATTGCTTTAGTAAGGCCGGTTTATTCTATTTTTGAGAGACTGTATTCTTTCCTCTTTCAGTGACACACTATAGCCGGTTAGTACTGTACCACTTTAACCCCCTGTGACTGCTGCTCCAATCTTTTTAAAAACAACTCCAGGTTGATGAATTTATCCTAGACAA